TGTAATACTCTACTGTCAACTGAATGCATATGAAAATACAAAGCAGTAAATGAGACAAAGAGTTTGTTTACCCGGTTTAGAATATAAACAATTCTACGTCTGGGAGATACCAATTCAAGAGAAGTTTACGAGTCATGCTGATTAAGAACAAAGACAATCACAACTCCTTCGACTCAACCTCTACGGTTTACCTTGGAAATTCCTTCTACAGGTTTATGTTGTCACAAACTCGTATCGACAACGACCACGGAGCAGAGCTGATCAGAATCTGAACGTCTTCCCTGATCGGAAATCCGATTTCTCCTTCCTCTGCGAACTCTCCGGCAAAATAAACATGACAGACACTCACTTAACACATAGAGAAGGGAAGGGTTTGGGTTAAAATGATTGATACATTTTTTTTTCTCACTACACACACTCTCAAAATCCTCACAACAACCAACTCTCTCACTCCACACTTATCTAAAAAGCCACATTGCTGTGCATGTAAGACAAAACCAATTAAAACTTTTTTTTTTTCACATAAATGGTATGATGTTCTGATGCAATTTGACCGCCCAAAACATCAATTCCTTTGTGTCGTGTGCTCGCCAACCGAGAGAGTGTAAAACAAGCAATGTTGCTGTTAGACTGTTGCGGCAGCCATACAAAATCTGTTACTGCTAAAGAAAATCTATAAAAGGCAACAATAAAAAAAAAAAAAAAATGGAAGAATCATATGCCAAAATAGATGGAGGGATTTCTTGTTCAAACAACTATATTAGATTGTTATAATTTAAATTTATAGACTTTGTTCCATAGTGCATGTATAATTATAATAAAAAATATATATATTTAATATAGCTTTAAAAAATTCAAAATTATTTTACAAAATAAAAAATTAATTGATTTATATTTATTATTTATATATTTTTATAGTCTCGAAATAGACAATTTAATGACAAAATTTCTGATAGTGCTATATAATCCAATTTTCGAATCGTTTCCAATCAATTTCTCATATAATACATGGGACATTTTTTATAAAAGAATTAATAGTATACATTTTTATACATAAAATAAATAGAATCATATAATACAAAAAACTCAACTCAAAATAGTGTTATTTTTTTATATATATAAATAAAAATTAAGTTGAAATAAAATACGAATAATAATAATAATAATAATAATAATAATAATAATAATAATAATAATAATAAAAAGATTATGGCATGCATTTAATCTGTGATGTGTCATTTTCTGGTTCAGAGATAGTTATTTAGAAAAGGACAGTAACTAAATAAATGCCTGCCTGCCTGCATTCCAATAATGCAAAACTTATTTTTAGTTATTTATATACTCCCCCGTCTAAAAAATATAGTCATATTATATTGGACACGAAATTTAAAAAATATTAATATTATATTAGTAGTGGCTAAAATGTAAGGATAAATGACTTTTTGTCTTTGTGAGTATATTTGTGTAAAAATAGTGACAATTGTGTAATAATAATAAAAAAATAGGGATAGTTTTATAATGATATAATTATTTATGAAAATAAGATTATTATTTTGGAACGGACAAAAGTAGTAAACAACACTATTAAATTGGGACGCAGAGAGTACATGACACAAGGTGAAAGTAAAACTGCTACTTCATTTTCATTTCCATTTAAGGATTTTTGGATTTTGCTTTCGACATATATATATATATATACATATATTTTCATATAATAATCGAAATTTCTATGGGTGAACATTCAAAATTTATGGTTTAAATTTATCAGATTCGAATCCATTCATAAATATTTCTCCCGTCGTGCAATTGTATATTTATTTGACTGGACACTAATATAAAAAAAAAAAGTAAAAATAAAATTTTTTACCCTTTTTTGAATAAAAAATATAAAAAAATAGTATTATGTTACTAAAACATAAAAACTTTTACTTTTAATCAATATTTTAAAAAATAATAATAATCAAAATTGCATAAAATATTTATTGGGGACTCCCGTTTGAACTTTTAAATGAGATGGTCATTCTGAATTCGAGATTGTATCAAAGACATACATTACCTACTTTGATTATATGTTTTGATTTGATTCAGTTAACACTGGCTTCTATTCATAATAAATTTAGGATGAATCTGGTGTTGAAATAAAATTAAAAAATAATAGTAGTATTTAATAGTCAGTGAAAATGCATAAGATTTTTTGATATTTGTATCATTTGACTTTATGTATAAAATAATTATATTTATAATAATATAGTTTTAATTTAGATAAAAATGAAGGGTATTTTGATATTAATGTATGATTATTTATTTGAAAAGGGATACTTTAAAATATGATAGATGAAAATAGTAAAAATGATACTACTTCCGTCCGGCTCCAAGGGTCTTATTTACTTTTTGCGTGTTGATTTTTGAATATTAATTATTATATCAAAACGTAGTACAAATTAAGAAAAAAATGCAAAAGTATTTTTATTAATGTCTTATAATACTAATAGAAGGACATTTGTACAAAAAATTATACAAATATAAAGATATTTTTAATGTTAAGTACAATGACGCAAAACCTAAATGTGATCGTTAGAGGCGGACGAAGGGAGTATAACTTTCCTCTCTCATTTTAGCACAATCCTTAAATTATTCATAATAATACTTCACACGCAAATTTACCGATAAATAAAAATATCTAAACGATTGATCTCCGCTTAGTGCAAACACACACACTACAAAAAAAATAATATATTTGTAACGGAATTTCGTCCCTAAAGTTCACGTAGCTAACGTAACTCTATTACTAATTCCGTCTCTAATGTCATTAGTAACGGAAAAAGTAGATTTAGAGACAAAAATGTTTTGTTACAAAAATAATTTTTTCTTGTAGTGACAATTACAAATATTTGAGAATCGAGGTGCAACAAGAGCCGGAATCAGACCGAGATGAAAGAGGGGGCTAATTTTTCAAATTTCGAAATGATCATCATCTATTTGTTATCCAATAATTTTATGAGTTATCATATTTCGAAAATGTTACAAATATCAATCTACAATGACAATTGCATATTACCAGATGAATTTTGTATTATATAAAATTGATAAATAGTTAAAAAATTTATTAAAAAAATAGCTCTTAAAAATATCACCTCCTATGTATTTGGTTAAGAATTTTTTGAAAAATTTTATTTTTCCTATTTAATTATTATTTATTATTTTTTTGTTCATATCTATTTTTATAACATCAAACAATTATTATGATATAATTTTTTTTATTATTCACATAAATATTCTATCAATTTTTAGCAAATTTTCTAATTTGTTTATTATTTTTATATTATATATTATAAAATAAAAACAGAAAAATTAAAAATTAAAAGAGGATGGGTGGGGGAGGGGGGCTGAAGCCCTTCCTTGCCACCGCATACATCCGCCCCTAGGTGCAACTAAAGGTTGAATCTCTCAAACCATTTGAACACATGTAGGTAAAGCACACATGAATTTATAACATTCTAACAGTCGATCTCGACACTACCAGATTTTTGTATCTCTATTTATTAACAAGCATATCGAAAACAAATTTGTAATTTTCTTGAGGCAATCAAACTTCATGTTCCTATAGATAGTTTCTTTTATTCATATTCTTGCATAAGATTGAAAATAATAATTACTCATTCCGTCTCAATACAATAGTTCTATTTACCATTTTTTTCCGTCCCAAAATAATAGTCTCATTTCCATAAATAATCATATCACTGTAAAATTACATTTACTTTTTCATTATTATTACACAATTTCTACTATTTTTTACACTAATACACACGGCAAAAAAATCTATAGTTCTGAGACAGAGGGAATATATTTTATTTTGAACCAAAAATAGACAAACTATCAGCCTTACCATTAAATAAACTGATCATTAATGGGCCTCGTCAAGCAGTAAGCCCATCTGCGGTCATAAATCCCATCATTGAGCTTCTTTAAAAATTATTGAGGCCCTGTTTATCAATAATTTTAGCATTATTTAACTTTTTAAAAATATCACATAAAATATATACTTCTCTTCTGTCCTAAATCAAAGAGTCTTTTTAACATTTTATAGTAAATTAAAATAATATTATTTTATTAGTTAGTAAAAATGTGTAAGAATTTTTGATATTTTTGCTATTTAACTTTATGTATAAAATAATTGTATGGGTAATGACATATTTTTAATTTAAGTAAAAGTTAAAAGGTATTTTGGTATTAGTGTATTATTAATTTTTTATTAAATTTTAAATTTCTTAATTTTTTTTTATTTTTTTATTTTAACAATCGGCTATACAATTTATTCTATAAACGAGTAAGTCGTTTACTTATATAGATTTTTTATATTTCTAAAACAGCAAAACTTTACATAGGTGTTCGGTTCATAGAAATAAATTCATTTTAAATAACATTACCAAATGTCACATTAATCCACATCATAATGGATCTTCAGTCATACATTTTACAAAAATACATATATATATATATATAGACAGAACCAGCAGTAAAAATTTAGAAGAGCAAAATTGAATTTTTTTTTTTTATCGATTTAATGTTTTATTTTTATTTTTTTATTCCTAGTATACCCTGAAAAACAAAAATTGAAAATTTTAAATATTTTTAAAAAAATTCAATAAAATTACATAACATTTAATATATTTTTTAATATATAAAATAAAATTTAAAGACTAAAAGTATAAATCAACAAACGGATAAAATTTTTATGATTTTTTACATTCCAAAATAAAAAAATTAAAAGAGACAAATTACTATAAAATATATAATTTTATTATTTTTACATAAAAAAAAAACTACATATATTTTGAGGGCTTCGCGAAACTAGCCGTCTAATTTCACCTCTATATATATATATATAAACATACATATGCCTCCATGAGTGCTCGAAATGAGCACTCGAATGCAAGAAAAGCAAAGAAACTTAAAAAAAAAAAATAAAATAAAAATAAAATTTAAAGAAGTTCTTACAATTATGGTTGTCCATTGTTGCTTTCTGTCTCAACTTCAAATCGAACAAACTGTTGTAAGAGAGAATGGTGGGAGGGGTGTCCTAACTCCATCTCCTCCCACCATTCTTTCTCGTCCCACCGGAGTCGAATCTCCCGAAGCGATGCCGGCCGGGAGTCGAAATCCGGTGGTTGTCCGAAGACCAAAGGAAGCTTCGCCAAAGCACGGCACTTTTTCAATGTAACTCTTTGAATCGATCCGCAAATCATCGCCGCGTCGCAAACGGTCTTAAGTTTCGGTAACCCCACGAGATGTAGACACTCGAGTTTCGGGAGCGCGACGACGCGCGATTCTCCCGATTCGATTACCTCCTCGGTCGCCTCGCAAAATTCGACCTTGATCTCCTTCATGTTCGGGAGTTGTCGCGCTTGCAACCCGAGCTTCTTCATGTTCTTGCAAAAGGAAATGTTTAGGACACTAAGCGACGAGAACGAAGATAACGGCGGCGATGATAATGATGACGAGCGTCGCGGCGCGCCGTGATTCAACGATAAGTTCATAAGCCTCTCGACTTCGTGGCAATGTCGAATGCTCAAACTTTCCATAGAAGTCGGGTTGTTCAATCGCGGAAGAATTTCTACTAAACACGCGCTTAGCCCCGTGCATCGTTGCAAATTTAGATGTCGGATCCCTTGGGCTAATACCGTCGTGTCGTCATCTTCTCGCCTTTTGTTGAAGTCGTATTCCAAGAACTCGAGTTGATTGTAGCCTATGAACTCGCGGTAAAGGTACCGTTTGTCTAATCCGACCTTGATGCAATGATCCAAACTCGGCTTATTCCTTTTCAGTCGGTTGCAGTCGTTTGTATCCTTCACTCGCCCGTGAAACTCGTCTAAATGATTTAGCTCCTCGATCTCATCGACCGGTGCTTCGACATGGTACGGGAGGTATAGGCATTGGAGGCGCGGAAAGTTTAAGAAAAAACCTTTCGGGAAAGTTCTCAAGTTACGAGTCACATTTAGCGACAAGTACGTGAGATTGACGAGTTCTTCCATTCCTCGCGGCACTTCATGTATCGCGGTTCTCGTAAGATCCAACTCTCGGAGTTCTTTGAGTTTTCCCAAGTACGGTACAAATTCGAGATTGTAACATTTTGTAAGTAGCAACGCGCGAAGGGCCTTCGTTTCGGATAGAGAGTTTGGTAGCTTTCGAATCCGAGTTTTAGACAAGTCGAGAATGGTTAAGGTAGGCATGTTCGCGAAAAATGAATCGGGAATAAACTCGAGAGGATTATTCTCCAAGATTAATGTCGACAACGTAGGACAATTTGGAGATCTCCCGTCTTGAATTGTCGTTATCCCGTTGTTCATTAAGGAGATCCTCTCGAGATCTTTACTCCATTCTTTTTCGCGCGGTATCTCTTTCAATGAATAGTGCCCGACTATCACTTTAGTCCGGCCTTGAGTAATTTTTAGCGCCATCGCTCTCACCATATCGTGCATCGTTACTTTGTTGTGGTCGAGTTTTTCTAACAAGCACGCGCTCGCCAATCTATCGAGTACGGCGTGGCCTTGGATGTACAATTCTTTTCTACTTTCTTCTTCGCCTAGATACCCCTCGACGATGAACTTTTTGATCAATTCTTTACGATCTATCTTAGCATCTTCGGGATACAGAGAACAATGGAGGAAACAAAGTTGAAGCTTCGTGTACCCGTTCGTATTCGTCGCATCGCGATCTAATCGATCGAAACTATACTTAAGAACTTTATAAACGCGCTCTTCCATCTCTTGTTGCCCCATGATCGATCTCCTTAACTCGGCCCAAGCGTCGCGCCACACGTGAAACTCAGTCTCGCCCTTCATGCTCCCCGCTATCGTAATAATTCCTAGCGGCAAACCACCGCATACTTTTATCATATTCTCGGCGATCTTATGTACTCGCGGAGTTAGACTCGCTCGTCGCCCGAGCGTTTCGACAAACAAGTTCCACGCTTCGTTCTCGCTTAATGTCTTCATTGTGACGATTTTTTTACAGTTGATTCGACGGCACACGCTTTGTAGACGAGTTGTTATCAACAATTTACATCCTTCGATCGATAGAGGATCTCCCAATTTCTTCAAATCGATGTCTTTCCACACGTCGTCGAGTATGAGAATAAGATTCTTTCTTCGAGATAGCACCCTATGCAATATCGACGCTCTCTTATCTTCGTTTTCCTCGTCCGAAAGATCGAGGCCTACAAATTTCGCAACTTCGTCTTGCAACGTAGCGTTGCGAAACTCTTGAGGCACCGTGATCCACGCAACACTTTCTTTATTTCGTTCTAAAAGTCGATTATTGACGTGTTTAGCCAATGCTGTTTTCCCAACACCCCCCATACCGTGAATCCCAATGCTCGACACTTTTTCGACCAAGAAGAAATGCAAAATATTTTTCAAATTCTTGTCGAATTCTTCTCCTACCAATTCCCCGATCAATAGTTTCTCTCCTTTTTGATCGTAGGCATTAAGTACAAGCTCGCCAAAATATCGACTTTGCTCGACCAAACCGCGCACTCTTGCTTCCAATTTCGCGGCTTCACCTCCACCGATGAACTCTCTTACAAATCCTTCCCTTTGTAGTCGATTTTCCAAGCTATGGAACTCGCTTTCAAGCGATTGTACTTGTTCTAACCATGTATGAACTTCTCGTTTTCGTTTCTTCTTGCCCGATAGCTCGGCTTTATTTATTTCCTCGTCGACATCGGAGGCTTTAGCACACAATAATCTTATGTTACTCACCAAAGAGTCGAAAGTATCCTTGTCATTTTTGCTCAATGCAAAATTCATGAGCTTCTCCACAAGTTTAGAAATGATCGGTTCTCCAAACTTCCACAAAAACTCCATTTGATCCTGAGAATTTTCATGTGTATTGGTCAAATTTATAGAGAAATCAAACATTATAAATAGCAAAGTTTCTAACATATAAAATCACAACATATACGAAATGTAATGAGCTATAGATGCATCACCAGAAAATTTAACTTTTGTATGATGTTATGATATAAAAATGAAATTCTTTATTTAAATTTAAGATTTGAATAGTCATATTTTAAATGTAAAATTTATTTTTATTATAATTAAAAAAAAAATAGTTAATATGATATTTTTTTAAAAGAAAAAATATAAATATTAGAACTTTGGCAAACTTTACCAAAAGAACACACCTATGAATTTACTACTATATGTTTTATATTTGGTCAACCCAAACTTATTGCTATTCCTAATCTTTAATATTAACAAAACTCACTCAATTTTTAGTACATATTGTTTGGTTTTTTTTTAAAAAAAAAAATAATAAAATAAAATAATATTAATTTATTATTATATTTTATATTATAATAAAAATTAATTTTTTATTCAAAAGATGACATTAACATATATGTATATCAATAAAAATTCAAAAATTTTACTATTTTTTATATTATGGTTTTATCACTAACATTTTCAGACATAAAGATATAAAATTGTAATAAAAATTATGAAGATATTTACTTATTTTTTATTTTATTTCAATGCTTGTTCTTTAAATATATAAATATATATATATATATATAGAAGAAAAATAGAAACGCAGTGTAAATTAAGTAGTAAAAACCAAAACACTCACTTGTGTGTATTTCTGTGTCTCTTTTTTTTTTTTTTTTTTTTTTTTTATCATATTTACTATATTGTAGTTATTTGAACTGAGTGTTGATTTGATTTTTTTATCTAAATAGTATTTTGATATTGAATTTTGTGAAAAAAATAATATATTTTTAATTGAAAACTGAACTGAGTAAATAATATTAATTTTGATTCGAAATATTAAAAGAAGAAACCATATTATTGTAGATAGGGTTTTTTTTTTTTAATTTTTTATTTAAAAGATAGGTTTTAGTTAAAGGAAAACAGTTCTTATAGGATAAAGCCAACACTACCAAAAATAAAAATAAAATAAAAAATAGTATATTAGTAACGGAATTCTGTTCCTAAATTTGTAGTTAACGCAATTCCCTCTCTTATTCTGTCTCTAATGTCTTTAGTAACGGAAAAAAAAAGGATTTAGAGATAAAAAAAAAAACTTTGTTACAAAATTGATATTTTTTTTAGTGATAACTACACACATTTGGGGGGAAAAATATCCTTTTATTCCTCATTTATTTAATTTCGACTATGTTTGAAATTGAAAATTTATTGTGAAGTGGTCAATAATTAACCTTAGACTATAGTTAATATTTAAATGGATTAAACTTTATTAATAATTTAAAATTGAGTAGCCAATGAGATGACTTTCAAAAGGATATGTTTTTTAACACTTAAAAAATTCCTAGGTTTCATTTATTTATTTTTTTAATCACATATAGAATTAATATTTTATGTTTATTTTCAACTACAATAAAATAGTAAAAAAAACATGTATCTATCATTAAACGCGTATTGAGATTTAATATATACACAATTATTAATTTTATTCTAAAATTTTGAGTTGTAGTAATATGTACCTTAATATTTTATACACAATTGTTATTTTAAATAAATAAATAAAAATTCTACTTGATTTATACTGTTTTTAATTAAAAAAAAAATGTATTATTTTATTTAATAAAATATCACATCAAAATGATATTTAAACCAAAACATAAATCAATATTCCATTTCAAATTACAATCAATCAAAAAATAATTATATTTTAAAAAATAATAATAAACCCTAATAAAAAAATATGTTAAAAATATTGCAATAAAATTGGATATATAAGTACAAATACATAACACAAATTGAAATTTTCATAGAAAATACGTTTATTTTAACTACAAATTAACTTAATGAACATGTCTCTATCGATATGACCGAAAAATAAAATACTAACTTAAGATACATTCGGCCGGTGAAACCTATTACAAGATTAAATTATACACTATAATTAACTTTTATTTAATATAATGATGACTTAATCCACATTTTCACATTCTAATTAAACTTTAAAGAAAGACTAAGTTATTGTCTAGTAATCTTATAAGTCGAAATAAAGTGAGAAAGGGAATTTACGAATCAAATTTGTGTGTGTTTTTGTTTCTTTATTTATTTTTTTACTCTTTAATTCTTAAAAAAAATTAATAAAAAATATATTATTTATTTTATAAAACATCGTCGCAAAATATTATTTAAATTAATAATTTGTAAAATTTATTCAAGTTAGCATCTTTAATTAGTTAACTAGTTTTACTTTTGGTATATTTTAACTAGCTAGGTGATGAAAATTTTTGATCATTTTTTCATAATTTTATCCTTATTTTTTATTAAAATTTTTAATAAAAAATAAGGATAAAATTATGTAAAAACAAATAAATATTGTAAGAGTTTTAAGCCATTCTAATTTAACTATTATCTTAAAACTTGAGAGGGAGGAAATAATAAATAAATTTAATGACAACATAATATATATGCTTTAAAAGACAAACTTGTATGCAATAAAACAGTGAAATGTATACATATGTATATATATATAGTGACGAAACTAACCTTTAAATTTTGAGTGGCAAAAATATTATAATTTATTTAATATTTAACTAATAAATTTAAATAAAAAATCATGGTAGACTTATATATGAATTTAGATAATTTTGGAGAGCAAATTATATATAAATACATAAAACTATATTTTTAACACTAAAAAATCATAAAAAATTAGGTTTGGAGGCCAATTGGCCTCCCAAGTCCCAGTTTAGTTCCGTCCCTATATATATATATATATATATGGGACAACAAAAAGATTTCTTTAACGACAATATATAGTTGCAAGTGGTAATATTACATTTGAGAAATTAAAAAATAGATACTGACCTGCGATGGAATCCTTAATCAGTTCGAAAGAATAATGGTGCCTGAATAGCTGGAACTATTACAGTATATATATATATATAGATATAGAGAGAGAGAGAGAGAGAGAGAGAGAGAGAGAGAGAGAGAGAGAGAGAGAGAGAGAGAGAGAGAGAGAGAGATGGGGCATATGAAAAGATAGGAGAAAGAAAGGAAAGAGAAGAAACTATATATAAACCCTAAAGAAAAAGTCCTGTTGACATTTCAAAGTTTGTCTTTCTTAATCCAATTTGAACTATATATATATATATATATAGGGTTTTATTCTTTTTAATTTTTTTTATTATGCAATTCACAAGATTTGTTTTTTTATAAAATTTTGTTTGGATTGGACTTGTGTAACACTGTAGTTTGAGGATAAAAAAATGCTATATTTTTTTAATGAAAACCGTATATAATTTTATTTTATTTTTTTATTGAGATTAATAAAGATGTAAATTTAAAACAAATTACTCTTAGAAAACATGACATTTAATTATTATTTAAATACATAATACAAACCATATATAATAATGCATTTGAAATACATTCTAGAAGTGTTTTGATTTTAAATTATTTAAGAATTATAAAATTTTAAATTAAATAATAAATATGAAATATATAATATATAATATTCTATTTGCATTTCTCAACAAATCTCCGTAAATATTATTAAAAATATATAAATATACACATTAATATATTATATATTATTCACTTATAAAAAATCAATCATTCAACGCAATATTATTTTTTATATTACCAATACAGTTTCACACGACCACACACAAAAAGTGTTAGTTGTGATCTTTTCAGGAATAAAATTTATCTGATGAATAATTTGTAACAAAATTGAAAATCCGAAGGTAATATATCTCAACTTCAACTATATACCTGCAAATAAACTAAACCTAAAACTCAAAATCAAAATCAAAACTCTATCTAGATAAAAATAAATAATACTCCCTCTGTCCCAAACATCGTGCAACATTTGTGTTTGGCACGGGAATTTAGGTGGAGATTATTAAGTATGGTAATTTGAGATAATTTGGATATTAAGTGATGTGATTGAAAAGAAAAATGATTATTTGTTTTTTTTTTATTTGAGTGATGTGATGGGATAAGGTGAAATGTATATTAATATATGTATAAAAATATTATTAATTATTTCTAAATTTGAAAATGTTGTAGTAAATTTTGAGTTCAATCCAAATACTCCATCAAGTAGCTTGACAATAATCGAACTTAAAAATCGCTCATTTTAAGTGATTCACAAAATTAATGACAATTTTTACCATAAGGCTATAAAAAATAATCAAATCTAGAGTTCCGAGTTTCCAAGAAAATGACTCAAGTTCAAATTGACTAGGCATATCGAAGAATTCTTTGTCAAGTATGTGTTAAAGCCGTGTAGACAATCTTGACAATTTTGTCAAGATCAATACTTTCCCGGTGAAGTGAAATATTTTAAAATCGTATGAATTTAGAGATTAGTACAAAATAAAATAAATATGCCTCGTAACTAAGCACCTTATGCATTTGCAATCTGCGAGCTCGGCTATAAGTGATCGGTCCAATAAACATGCACGAAGGTTCTTCCTTAGCCTTACCACCAAAATTATAAAATCAATTTACCGAACATATTAAATCTTACCATCTTCGGTAAGTATTGGAAAAGAAAAAAAAAAAAATTATTAAGTACTTCATGCTTGGCTTCTTGTACTTTCAATGCCGGCGATCGAGTGATGGGTCCCACGGATATAAATAAAAGAGTTCTCTGGACATTCTCTATCATTGCCCAACAATGGGGTGTGACTTTGGCAAGAAAAACCTGCACCAGATTCGATCAATGCAAGAATACGACGTCGTTTTAAACGATTCTATATGATTATGTATTATGGATTATGTAGGCAAGTGATAATAGGAACTTACTGACTGACTTTTTAGGGATGAAATTAGGGTTTTTCTGCATGTCGTGGTTTGGCAAGAAATTGGGTATTTAATTTGTTTGTATTTGATGAAATTGGGGGTTTGTTCTGTGGATATAGATACAGACATGTGTATGTATTGTTGAAGAATTGAGGCCCACCAGTTGTTGATCGAAACCTGCAGGCATCATGACCTTGAAGAAACGCGATTCTGGAGCAGCCATTGTTGAATAGGAAATTAATTAAGAAGCTAATAGGTAGAAGAAGAAGAAGAAGAAGATGTGGCTTTGGAGTGTAGATCGATCCTCCATTAACGTACGGATATATGTGTTTTTGAAAGGCAACTGTTTAGCTTCCCATCGAACCTGCAGCTCCTTGAAAGGTCTCTGCAACAATTCATATTTAATTTTATTTTTTCAACTATTTCCGGCAGGGGTGGACAAAAAACCCGAACTTAAACGTCGAACTGCTGAATCGAATCGAGTTTTTTTGTTAACCGAGTAAATTTGATTCAAATACAAAGGTTGTATATTTAATATTTATTAGGTTCGGTTTTTATTTTTATTTTTATTATTATTATTTTTTTTTTTTATGTTTGCTTAACAGAACCGAATATATTTATATATTTATATTATTATATTTTAAAATTTATATTAATAATAATATTCGATTCGGTTTAATATATGCATGTATTTTTTATTTAATTAGACCATCCGCTAGGAGATGCACCACATCACTAATTTTTTAAAAAACAAAAATATAAAATGATAGATACTTGATCTTATTCAATTGTCATGTGTTCCAATTTAAATGGGACACATGACACTTAGGTATATATATATGATATATATTATATATGTTTTGTTTTTGTAATTTTTATTGAATTTATTGTTATATTTAACTTTTGTAATATTTTTATAATTCATAATATTTTGTATTATACAAAACGATACTAATATTGAATATATTTTATCAATTTAAAATTTAAAATATATAAATACAAATATTATATAATTCTATTGAACAAATCAATATTAATAAATTTAATTTAAATTATTAAATAAAATATAATTATAATTTTTTAAAGCAATTAAATAATATAAAATTATAATTAAAAAATAATATATATAATATGAAAATAAAAATTTATTAAAAAATTAGAATAAGTATCTTTGTTGTTGTGAATATAAAATAAAAGAGAGTATCTCTGCTGACGTGGCATAGAGAAAAAGTGACGTAGATAACAAAAAATAGTGGAAATACCCAAAAGCGGGTATCTCCATTGCAGATGGTCTTAGAATTTTAATTATTTTTTATATATTTTTTTGTTAATTTCTGTTTGGTTCGAGTTATTTGCAAATATTATAAATATTTTCAGTTAACCGAAATTTTCGGTTCGAATACGGTTCGCAATTTCGGGTATTTGTTCCGTTCGATTCGATTATACCGGTCTAATTGCAAATAAACGGTGCCACCTTAATTTCTGGACGTTTGTAGAAATAAACTGTGCTATTAATGTGGATATGAAGTTGTTGGGTCGGGCCGGATAGGCCTGGCCCATTATTTAGGATTAAGTTTGGTATAATAAATTTAGGTCTGGGCCTTATTATGGGCTTCATACAAATTCATTAATCAGAAATGAGTCATGGTTATTTCCGCCTAAATTTATTTTTGTTTTTTTTGTTAATAAAAAATATCAAATTTCTTTTTTCTTTTTTTAATTTTAAAAAAGAAAATTTTCTATTTTTTTTTTCCTTAACTTGTACAAAATTGAAATAAAAAATATTTAAAATGTATAGTTCGGCCCAGCACAATTCCGTACGTGGATCTGGGCTATTATACTGTACTGCACTGCAGCCGTGCATTTTCTTTTTTAATTTAATTTTTATGATTTTTTTAGAAAAAAAAAAAAAAAAACCTACCATATATCATAACAAAATTACTTACTCTATTTTAAGATTGAAAATATTATTCCCTCCGTCCTATATAAAAATATTTATTTTTTTATTTTAGTCCGTCTCATAACAAATATCAGTTTTCTTTACTATTTACTTGATAATACAAATATTTTATAACTTACAGTATATTATACAAATATCATTATCTTTATATTATTTTTACTATATTTCAATATAATACTAATATTTTTAAAATTACTTAAAAAAAATATATATATATTTACTTATGGAGAGGGAGGGAGTATTATATTTATATTTGTATTACTATATTTTATACAAATATTAATAAAAATATTTTGTCTTTTTTATTTAATTTATATTATATTTAATATAATAATTAATATTTAAAAATCAATATATATAAAAATATATATATATATATATAAACATTCTAAACAGAGGGCAAAACGACGACACAGCAAACCCTAATTAACTTAATTAAGAACCTTCTCGAAGGATCTCCACATCCATGCTTAAAGTAGATGAACAATTCCATTTCCTATTCCTCGCCGTCGTCGTCTTCTTCTTCTTCAAATCTGTTACTCGGAAGACGCAGACGTCTCCTTCCTTGAGGTCGTTACCTTCATAAAACTCATTCCAACCTTTACCAATTTTCCCTCTCGTTTTCTCACTCCTCACCACCATCCGCCATTCTCTCCCTCCACAATCTCTCACCATCAGACATTCCTTACCTCTCATTCTGTCGCACCTCCAAAACGTCTGAGGAATGTGCTGCAAATGCAATTATTCAGAGAGAGAGGATGAAAATGCAAGGGAGAATTTTGGTAAGTAATAAGTAAATTAATTAATTAATTACTGACCACAGTAAGTTTTCTGAGGGCATGGGAAGGGTACATGGTCAGACGGAAAAATGAGGGGTGGATTTTGCAGGGAAAAGGACAGCCTGCGCGAGATTCCTTCTCTGACTCTGCATATGCATACGACGTCGTTTTGCAGCTCGCGTTAACCCATGCGGATAATATTGCTGACGTTTTAAAATTTTAATTATTCTAATTTATATTGTACTTTTAAATTTAGAAATAATAGTTAAATGAAAATTGAGACAAAAAGGTGAGTATTTTAAAAATTTTGAAAGGAAAAATCACTTTTTAGAAAAAAAAAAAAACATACATATATATATATATATATAGACATATTTCCGTTTAGATAAACACTCTTTAAAATTATGAAACTTCGAAAAAAAAAAAAATATTAAAAAATATACTTGTATTTAATTTTTAATTTATGATAAAAAAATTATTTGATATGTAATATTTTATAAGAATATATATATATATTTAATATTTAAAAAAAAATTAAAATAGTGTCAAAAGTTCAAAAAGTTTGTATATATATATTTTGGAAGTTTCAAAATTATAATTTTTTTTTAAATAATACAAATTAAATATTTAATATGATATTTTATTAAAAAAATAATGATAATGTATTTTTTTAAAAAGAAAAATTAAAAAGGTAAATGATCTTACCCATGTGATCGAGAATGATTTTTTTGGGGAGGAGACTATTAGGGTTAGGGTTAGGGTTAGGGTTTTGTGCTGTTGGAAATTGGGTTTTCTCACAGGTGGTGGTGTCGAAGATGGCGACATTGAAATGCAGATTTCCAGTGTGATGGAAGAGCAGCAAGTATCCAAACTTGAGGCCATGGCGGCGGAAGAAATCCTGCCATCCATTTTTTAACCAGATGATGAGACCACCACCACTACCAGCTTGTTGGCTTCTGGAAACTTCGATTTCGATCTGCGACTGCCCCAAAGGGCCATTGATGATTGCATGCTCCAGCTCCTCCATCTTATACTCTAATTTCATCTTGTTGCAGAATGACGATGGCAGATTCTGCATATTTATATCAAACAAATTAATTAAATAATATGTATTGTTGAAGAATGAGATTAAAAAGAAAGGCCATTACCAGCTGTTGATCGAAACCAGGCATCATGATCTTGAAAAAACGCAATTCTGCTGCTGCTGCCATTGCAGAAGGAAATGAATTGAGTACGTACTGTCAATGGTCGCTCGCTCGCTCGCTGCAAATGAATTCCACCACTACTATATATGTACCTCTCTCTCTCTCTCTCTCTCTCTCTCTATATATATATATATATATATATATATTCGTATACAGGAAAATGAAAGGAAGTTTTCTGCTAAAATTACCTCACGTTTTCTTTGTTCTCGTTTACTTTTTCGGTCCATATAATTTGTCCTTATTTTTTATTTATATCGGTATACACTTTAATTACATTTTATGTTTTATATTTTATATTTTTTTAATTTTAATTAAATTATTTAGTTATAACATTAATTTATAATTATTTTTACTATACAATAATTATTTTTACTAATATTCTTTTAAGTACTTATTAATTATAACGGACTTATTGTGATTTTTTTATAAAATATATATTTTATATTCATTCTTTTTCAAAATAAATGATGGAGTACATTTAAATTATGGTTTAAAAAAACAGAAAAACACTCAAAAGCAAACCCCAAATAAATTAATGTTTTCCACTTTTTTTTTTTTTTTTATAATATGAAAATTTGCAGATACTACTCGTTGAGTGCTTTAAATAAAATACAATAGATGAACTATATATGACAAACAATACTTAAAAACATCATAGTTGAATCCATGATCTACGGTCACGAATTCATCTCACACTGCCAACCAGCGGATATCTCTTACTATATTTTTCACTTTAGTATTTCACATTAATGAAAAAGGTTGTCACTGCTCCAAAACTCCACACCATTTGTAATAACTGATGTATTTTTTTCCCTTCATAGAAAATAGAAATTTGAGGTTTATTTATTTATTTTATATGAAATCAAATATGAGTGCATAAAATTAAAAAAAAATAAAAAAATGATACTATATATTTGTAAAGTTTACAATAAAAACACATATATATATATATAATACTCCCTCCGTCTAGCTACAAAGTATACATATTTCTATTTTGGGACGTTCAATTACAAAGTAACCATTCATTAAATTCTTCACTTTTTTCCACGCATACCCTTACTTTACATCATATCATTATTTTTATACCAAAAAATAAGGGCAAATATTTTATTATACTACTTTTACTTACCCACTATAATTAAAATATTATTCCCTCCGTCCCACATACCATGTCCACATTGCCGTTTCTGTCCGTCCCACATACCATGTCACTTTCATTTTTTGGAAAATGATTACACACTTTAATCTCATTTTAAACTTTTTAATTTTTTTAAAAATTTTAATTAAATTAATTAGTTATCTTAATCTTAATTTATAATTATTTATATTATTGGATAATTATTTTCACTAATACACTCTTAATTATCTACTAATTACACTCGTCCTAAAATACCGTGTCTACAGTGTAACAGACACGGTATGTGGGACGGAGGTAGTATTATTTCTTAAACTCTGTGCCAAAAGTAAATGCACACTTATTGTGTGGACGGAGGGAGTAAAACATAGTCTTTGCTATAAGGCATACCCTGGTGGCGTATGATGAACTCGTTATTGTAAGGTCATGGGTTGAAATCTCTGATGTTTCCGAGTTTTATCTGTTACACATAGTTTGTGTAATGTAACTTGTCTTGTCGTGTTTAATTTGTAAATTATTAGATTTAACTTACCTTGTCGTACATAATTTGAGAGGCTAAGTTCTTTGAATGATTGATACCGCACACCTCAAAACTTTCGACTCGTAATCTCATAGGACTCTTGACAGCTCCACTTCAATACATATTTGTAACTCCTTTGATCATTGAGATATGATAATCGACATAACCTTCGCATCTTCTTCAATCATTAGCTCTTTTTAAACTCCGTTGATCACCAAATAACCATTGAACCTCCCATGATTATTGAATACTCTTATCATTTGGCTTCTTTAGTAAAGTTTTCCATTATTTGATCATTCTTCCTTCATTATTTCCGATCATCTCCTCTGGGTTTAACCAACTTGGGCTTTATTTCTTTACCATGGGTTTTGAGCTATTTCTTCGTTTAGGTCTCTACCAAACTGGGCTTACTAAATTAGGCTTTTATTTCAATTTATATTTTTGGAATCAATATTAATCAAAGTTTACATTGTTTGGGGGTTTGGATTTTGAGTTGGGATTTAAATAGTAAAAATTTTGAATTTGAATAGCTGTATGATGTGATATAAATAGGTGTTGATGCGATGTTTTGAATGTAAAATTGATTTTTAGTACAATAGAAAAAAAATAAAAAATAGGTGTTTGATTTGATGTTTTTAGGGAAAAAAATTGGATGAATAGTGGATTTAAAATTCAATCCCCCAAACAAACACACCCTAAGGGTGCGTAGGTGTGTTTGTTTGGGGGTTTGAATTTTGAATTGGGATTTGAATAGTAAAAATTTTGAATTTGAATAGTTGTATGATGTAATATAAATAGGTGTTGATGTAATATTTTGAATGTAAGATTGATTTTTAGTATAATATAAAAAAATAAAAAATATGTATTTGATTTCATATTTTCTGAGGAAAAAAAAAAAGGAATGAATAGTGTATTTGGAGGAAAATCCCCCAAACAAACACACCCAATATTACCTTCTTCCTATTATTAAAGCTGACAAAAAGTAGACACGGTCTGAAAATTTGATCCAAATCCGATATAAAAACCTTGTGCTTGGGTTTCCATTGCGTAGCCCGACACGCTAATGAACCGAATCGTTCCCAAGCCATGTTTGGCACGGCCCGATATATTAGAATCAATATTTAATATATAGTATTTATTATATTAATTAATAAAATTTTAAAATAAATTAAGCTACAGCTTAGATGGTACAGTTTCTATGTTATGTAGATATGGTTGTAGGTTGAATTCCTGTCGGGTCATGCTCGGGCTGAATTGTCCAAGCCCGGTTCGAAATCAAGCCGTGCCTGTCCAGCCCGCATTCAAATTGGGTTGGGCTGGCTTAGCACAAAAAATCAAACCGGCCCGAATCGCAACCTTACATATTATGCCCTAAATACTGTACCATAAAAATTTAGAAAAAAGATGATTAATTAATAATTAATAATATATTAGTAAAATTAATTATAATATAATATAAATAATTATAAATTAAAATAACTAATCAATTTAAATAAAATAAATATATATAATTTAAAATATATAATGATTTTTAAAAATAAATATTGACTGAAAAATATGAAAAAGAAAATTGTAACAATGGGCAGAAGTATATAAATAGAAACCAATTTTATTTTTTATGTAGGGTGTGTTTGTCTGGTGATTGGATTTTTAATCCATTATTATCTCATTTTTTTCTCCTCAAAAATATAAAATTAAACACTTATTTTTTATTTTTTATAACCAAACAAACATGCCGTAGAGAATCTTTGGAAGTATCAATCAGTCGGTGTGGTGAAAGATTGAGTTGATAGAAGAATTCATTATTACAGCTACCCAGCCAGCCGTCAATTGGATTTGGAGCACACCAATCCAAGCCCCAACTGGATTTTGGAATAAATTTTTATTTGTATATACTAACTTTCCTTCCATAACAAAGTATTTATTTTTTTATTTTAGTTTATTTCATAATAAATTATTTATTTATTTTTAGTAACTGTATTATCTATCTAACATTACAAATACCCTTACAACTTACAATATATTACACAAATGTCATTACCTTTATATCACACATACTAATAAGATTATTTTAATTATTTCTATTTTATTTCTACTATATCCCAATATAATACTAATATTTTTAAAATTACGTGTAAAAACCAAATGGATAGTTATAAAATGAAAAAAAAGTACATTATTAGACTTGTCTATCATTTTAAATTTTTTTATTCTATCCACTAATAATAAATTTTAAAATATATATACTCGTGTATATATTTTTGCTCTATTTTTCTATCACTATTGTTCAATTACTATTCTTAAAAAATAATTAAAAAAAATTCAAATACTTACTATAAAAAAATAAAATAATTAAATATTCAATTTAAAATAATATTATCTTCGTCCGATTCTAAAGGTCTCATTTATTGTGTGTTGATATTTGAATATTAATTATTATATTAAAACGTAATACAAATTAAGAAAAATTGCAAAAATACTTCTATTAGTGTCTTATAATGCTACTAAAATGATATTTTAGAAAAAATTATACAAATATTTTTTTAATGTTAAGTACAATGATGCAAAAGGTAAATATGACCCTTAAAAAACGAACAGAGAGAGTAGTATATATTTTAATTTTGACATATTTTCTGTACCATACATAAAAAATCATTTTATTTACAAACATCAGGCAAAGAAAGCCTTTGTTTATAACAACAAATATATACTCTCTCCGTCCGAAAAGATATGTCATTTTGGAAGTTGATAGGAAAATTAAGGAATAATATTATTTAATTAAAAGTAGGTATAAAGCGAATATAAAAGACTAAAATTTCCTTGTTGTTTGAAAATTTTTAAAAAATAAATTGAAATAATTATGAGTAATTTAAAAAAGTATGAATAATTTTGTTATAAAATAGGACCATAGTTATTAAATAAGAACAGACAAAAATGAAAAAAACAAAACAAAACAGCTCTTTTAAAACATAATAAGTATTTCTTTAAGAATAATAATTTTTTGAATTACCCAGCATACTTAAATACTTTTATAACTTAAATTCTATTTAAAAAGTACTACTTACTTCCGTTCCATAATTATAGTCTGAATTGAATTTGGTACGTACTTTTTTGTCCTTGTGAGTGTATTAGTGTAAAAAATTAGTGACAATAATTTTATAATGATATGATTATTTATGAAAATGAGACTATTATTTTGAGACGGACAAAAATGATAAACAAAACAAGACTATTGTATTGAGACAAAAAAGTAAATACATATTTTACGATCAGAGTATATTACAAAAAAGTATTACGTTAATTATTCAATTTTTATTTTATTTTTTTCCATATAATTCCAAAACTATAAAACTTTAAAAATTTATATTTAAACATAACGTTAATAATCGAAATTAAAGTCTAAGTACCCAGAAAATCTTACAAATAAACAAGAAATCATTTGCCCCTGCTTCAAATTACTACAAGCAACCAATTACAGAACCCCAAACTAACCCAAAACACACACATGGAAGCTACAATATCCATCCATCCATACATATTTATATATATATATATATAGCAGCAAATCAAATAAGCAGTAATTCGGACAGGACATCAACGGCGGCGGCGGCGGCGGCGACGGCAGTGACGAATCTGGACATCAATTACAATAAGATGATGGTTGGGGGATCGAAGACGCTTATTACTTACGAGGTGAAAAGTGCAGACATCTCCGGCTTTAAGGTTGTTTTCGTCGTAGAATTGACCCCAGCCGGCCCCCATTCTACCCCTCACCCCCTTCCCGCCCCTCTCCCTGCTCATCGTCACCACCACCCCCCACTCTCTCCCGTCGCCGTTCCTCAGAACCACACTCGTCGTCTTCTCCATCTTCGCCGCCCTCAAAAATTCCACCGGAATCCACTGAATAGATATATACATACATATGTATATATAGTAAATGTGTTTATTTTATGGGACGAGATTATAATATCCGTATATGTGTGTAATGTAATAAACTCACCATTCGCTTTGCGACAGGCCAACGCTTCACTGTCGCGGTAAAAAATACATTGTTCTTGCCAGCATCTGCCGATCCACGTTTCTTCTCTTGCTGCTGATTTTCTAACAATTTTTCGGAAGATAAAGCAAAAACGACGTCGTTGAGGATGAATATGGCTTTCAAACGAAAATAGTGGAGTCAGATGGTGTTGATTTGACCAGATGAGCATATATATGTTGGTCACCTAATCTGGTCAAATCGTACGGACTTGACCGGATCAACCTGATCCATGCCCATACATTAACCTACTTGGGTTTGTTTTAGGAGTTAGATTTTGAGTTAAAAATTTCGATAATAAAATTTCGAATTGAAATAATTGTATAATAGGATATAAATGGAGACAGAAAAAATTTAATTTGTCATAAGAAAAAAAAATTCAATGGACAATAGAAATCTTTAAAATTGACTTTTTGTTATTTTGAAGTTTTAATTTTTATATTTAGAAATTTTGTTTAAATTAGTTTATGAAATTATCCTCCAAATTTACTATTCATCAATTTTCTTTTGAAAAAAATATTAAATTAAATATTTATTTTTAATTTTTATATTATATAGTATCATACTATTATTTCAATTTTAATTTTTTATTATTCAAAGTTCCAACGCCCGACACAAATTCCCTTGGTCTCAAATCAAAATAAACACAATTTTGTTCAACATTTTCAATAAGAGCAAATTATTTTTTTAACAAAATATAATATCTAAATTTATTCTGACTTTTCTTTTTAGACCGTCTCATAAATTTATCACATTACTAATTTAGACAAAATTAACAAATCAATATTCAATTATTATCCTTTATTCAACACTTATTTACAACAAATACCACTAACTTTATTACATTATTTCCCTTTCATTTACTTTTATTTTCTAACTAAATTTTCAAAAATTCCCCCAATTACATATCACTTTTTCAATAAACTATATTCCCTCCGTCCCAAAAGATTTGTCTTGTTTTTCCATTTTCGTCCATCTCAAATCAATTGTCTTGTTTCCTTATTTAGTAGCTATAGTCCCCATTTTATAACAAAATTATTCCTACTTTTCCATACTACTTCTAATTATTTCTCTAACATATTCTTTAAAATCCTTAAAAAAAAAAAAAAAAAAAAAAAAGGACATTTTAATCATTTACATTATACTTTATACCCACTTTCAATTAAATATTATTATTCCTTAATTCCCGTATCAACTCTCAATAAAACACTTCTTTTAGGACAGGGAGTATATTTTCTTAACTTCGCATCGGACTCAAATGGACTACTTTATAAAACCCAAATAATCATAAAAGCCATAAAACAATATCAATTTACTCACCAAATCGAAAAGGGGAGCGGGAGCTTACTTTTGGTTAGGGTTTTCTTAGAATTAGGCGAGGACAAATTCAAAGAGCTCTTTGGGAGGACGATTGATGGATCCTTCTGAGAAGCAGTTGCGTCGAAGACGAAGACGACAGTAAACTGAAGATCGTCCACTGATGGTGTGTGTTGGAACACCACGAGATCCCACAAGGTCAGGCCATGGCGGACGACGAAATCTGGCCATCCATTCGTGAAGGAGATGATCGGATTCAGACCTCGCCCAATATTCTTACAGATTACTGTCATCCTCCATGTCCCCAACCTGCTCTTCACCACTGCCTCTTTCGGTACTATCTTCTTCGCCTTCAGCTTTAGATTATTGCAGAAACTTTCTGGCAGATTCTGCAATTAAATTGTTAAAAACAGAGGAATTAAGAACAACGATGCGAAATTGAATTAGTAATTGATTAATAGTTTATGGATTACGAGTTTGTGTTGGAATCCAGGCATCATGATCTTGAAGAAATGGAGTTTTCGTTTTTCCATTTTCGATTTTTCATTCTGAGAATGGATTCGACTGATCTGAAGAGCAGAGTCCCTCTTTAATTTGGTGCGTCAGTGTGATGATTAAATGTACTTCAAAAAATATATTTTAAATAAAATAAAATATTTAATTTAATACAAACTTCGTCCGGAAATGTTATTTGAAAGTGTGCATCGAATAAATTTTCGGCAATCTCACTGGGCCAAAGATTTATGGGCCAAAGATTTATGATTATTTTTATTAAAATAAAAAATGATATTTGAGGTGAAAAAACAAAAATATAAAAATGATACTTTTCAATGTATTATTTTGTAAAAATAAAAGTTTATATAATATTGATAAAAGAAATTATTTATTTATTAATAATTAACTTAAAACTATTTTATAAAGAGTTAAATATAGATAAAATATTTATTTATTAAAAATAAAATAAAAATAAAAAAGTTTTGAGTAAATTGTAATTAAAAATTTAATTAAATTAATTTATATTTATTAAATATATTTAAGAGAAATAGTTTTCTTTTTAAATAACAAAAAAATCCTCTTTTAACCGGAAAAAAAAAAAAAAAAAAATAGTCTAACACAACTAGGAAGTATTTTATAAACGAAAATTTTCTATTAAAAAAGAAACTGAATCCAAAACAAACAAAATTTTACTCATAAGATTTAGTTTTTTATTTTTGAATTTTAAATACTCCATATGTCTCGGAAGTAAGTATTCATTTGTTTTTTACACTTAATTTTAAAAATATTAGTATTATATTGAAATATAATAGGAATAAAGTAGAAATGACTAAAATAATGTTATTAGTATGTATGATATAAATAGAATGATATTTGTGTAATATATTATAAGTTGTAAGGGTACTTGTAATGTTAGGTAGAAATTACAGTTACTACAAAAAAAAAAAATGGATACTTTATTATAGAACGAACTAAAATGAAAAAATAGATATTTTGTTATGGAATAGAAGAAGTATTAAAATTTTGAATTAAGATATATATGATGTAATATTTTAAATATAAATTTTAATTTTAATGTAATATAATAATAAAAAATAAACTACTAATTTGATATATTTTTTTTTAAATAAAAAATAAAATAATAAAACCAAAACTCAAATCCCATGGTAAACACACTACTATTGTTTGTTGTAGAAAATATACATATAATACCCTTTCAAATAATAAATTCCTTTTTAGTTTATAATATATTATATAAATATTATTTTTACTTTATACCATACTAATAAAATATTTTTATCGTTTTTACTACAATCCAAACAAATGCTACTAGGAAGAATATAATGGGTGTGTTTGTTTGGAGAATTGAATTTTAAATCTACTGTTCATCCAATTTTTTTTCTCCAAAAATAACAAATCAAACACATATTTTTATTTTTTATATTATACAAAAATCCATTTTACATTCAAAACATCACATAACACCTATTTATATCACATCATAAAACTATTCAAATTCAAAATTTATTTATTTTTTTATATAAATATATAAATATGAAAATATTTGAAATATGCAACTAGATCTATATTAACTATAAAAAATAACTCTTTGTGTAAACAATAAAAAAATGACAAAATATATACTTAGCAAGAAAACAAAAAGAGTACTAAAAACAACTAAACTTAAAAATACTAAAGAAAAACACCCGCATACCTTGTGTGTAATGAGGACATGAAATTGTGAAAAGTTATACATAAATCAAAAGTATCAAGAACACAAAGTTGAGCTCAAAATGTCTGAGGCAGCATTGGAATGAAAAATTCTAAGCAACCGAGGTACGATTTTAATTTCAATCTTAAGCATTTAGAATAGGGAAGTTCCTTTGCCCTTCTTGTCGCCACCGATCTCAAAATGCTTACATCTCTGCACCGACGAGAATTAAGGAGTTGTTGGCACACAGATTAGGGTATCATCCAAACAAAAATGAAAAAAATAATTTCAAATATCGACCTTGATGGGGTGCTGGGAAACATGTTTGCAAGCCTGGCATTGCAACCTCAGCACAATCTTCTTTGTTGTTTTGGCCTGAACAAGAAACACAAGAACCAATGTCATCTAAAGGAAATCCCTAATTTCGTGCGGGTTGTAGTTTAATCGGAAAGAACATTGCCCTATCAATAAATAAGTGCAAGTTCAAGCCTCGACATTCCTTAAGGATCCAACATTCGGTAAATGCACATTTGAATATAAGATAATAAATAGGACTGTAGGATCAGATCCCACAAAATTTTATGTCAAAAGAAACAAGGATCAACCTAATTCTACAATCCCATTTTCTTTTTCGGATAGCAAGCAAAAGTTAACCAAGAAACTGTTCTAGATTATTTCGAAACAGGTATCATTCTAACAAGACTCATAGTGGTTTTCTAATCACCACTAAGTCTTATAAATTAAGTCATTCTACAATATTTGGAAGAAATCATTGTAATTCCTAATCCCAATTTGTCAGATGAACAGCCACCAGAGCTTAACCACCAAACCCTTCGACATGATTCAACAATAGTTCAACAATGTCTGCTTAAAACAATTCATTGTAACAGTTTCAAAAACCTTTGTTACTTCAAGATATACCAACGAACCTTTCATGCTACAATGTAATAATGGTGTGCAATTAGAATCTAGAGAATTTCACCTTCTTGTGGAAGACCGGCTTAGTTTGTCCACCATAACCAGACTGCTTGCGATCGTATCGTCGCTTTCCCTGAGCAGCTAAGCTATCTTTTCCTTTCTTGTATTGTGTTACCTTATGCAAGGTGTGCTTTTTGCACTCCTTGGACTTGCAGTATGTCTTCTTTGTTTTAGGAACGTTCACCTGCAAACGCCAAACAAGAAAAAACTCATAAATAACCAACATAAACACCATATACCAACTCCAAATTCCCCCTAAATCCCCATAACTTCAAATATAGCCACAATACATAAACCTAGTGAAGAAACACAAAATTCCGAATCGAAACGGCATAATCCAGATTCAATAGACGAATATTTTAGAAATAAATAATAAAAACGAAAGAGTATCCTAAAACTATACAACATCGTCATCAGCTAGCTAGATTCCAACCTCGCAACAAGTCTCACAACCCATAACTCATAAACCAATCTGAAATCCTCAAAAATCGAAAAATAACCAGAAAAAAAAAATAAAAATCAAGAACTCCATCAAAGTAATAACTTAGCTATTAAGATACACCGAGCAACTTCAATTACGCGAAAAGGAAGGTGATGGGGATCGAAATTACCATTGCTGCCCAGTGAAGTTCTGAACGAAGCTCCGCGAGAAAGAAGTCTGAAGTCTGAAACCCTAGAAAGTGCTTCTGATTCTTTTATAGTGAGAGAGGCCCAATAGATAATAAAATTATGGGCCGGCCCAATATAGAATGTATCAAGCCCAAAATACGATTATAGTCGACCCAAAAAATCTTTAAAATAAATACTATATAAAGCCCATTTAACTGTAAAAAGGCATCCCTTGCAGGTCAGTATCTTTGTCGAGAAAAAACAGGGTTTAACAGAACCCTCGAGCGCCGGCAACGCAGTAGCCACCGGGACGCCGCATCGGAAGGTAGAATCTCATTTCTTCTCGTTTGATAATTAATTTTTTTAGAATGATTTTACATCTGTGTTCATGGTTGTTGTTTTCTACCGTTTTTTTTTTTTTTTTTTTTTCTTAGATTGTGACGATTTTGAGTTTAATAGTTATTTGCGTTGGCTTCTCTGCCAGATTCTTTTTACGGTGCTTGTGATAGTGGCGTTTGTGTATGATTTAGGTGTTTTGCTCGCGAACGGCAGAGGTGCAATAGTCTGCTTCCAATTTTAATGAGTTCTAATGGGTTCAGTGATATGCTTTAGAAATGCTATTATGCTGTAGATAATCGGTAAAAAGTACCTTCCTAGAATGTCCTGTATGAGGAAATGTGGATAAGCATTAAAGCATTGCATTTGTTTCTAAGGAATTGTTTTTGATTCATTGTTTCAGTTTCTATTGGAAATGGCATTTCTCAGAAAAGCTGGGAGTTTTTTGGGGAAAGCTGTGAGTATTTCCCCAATCAAGCAAAAACTTGTATCATCCAACCCATCCATCCTACAAGCGATAAGATGCATGTCATCGTCCAGGCTCTTTATTGGAGGTGAAATACATTTTTTCTTGGGACTCTGTTTGAGTAAATCTTATTTTATTCCATAAGATGTATATCATCTCCCCTGTTTTCACTTTATTTGCAGGACTCTCATGGAACACTGATGATTCAAGTCTGAGAGAGGCCTTTGATAAATATGGACAAGTTACTGAAGGTAAAACTATGGTGAATGACCATATGTTGTATTATGAATATTTTTGTATTCAAGTTTTGCATATTTAATAGTTTCTCCGCATTTACTGAATAAATTCGAGCGTGGGGAGCAGAATATGTTGTTCAAGATAGCATTATACTTGTGAAAAGGTCTTTACACCTGATTAAGTCCTATTTTAATTGATTTGATACTTCCATGTATGAGTATTTGTTTTGCTATGGAGGATGACATATGAGTCGGCTGGCCTGCATTACGGTTGCTCACTTCCCCAGTGGTTCCTGATGGGTATTTAGTACAATAGTTTGATAGGTGCTTTGGTTTTTAGACTAGGATTGTTGTTTGCTACACAACATTTTTAGTTAAATTGTTGTCGAGCTTACTAAGTTACATTGTTGGGTGTGTTTGTTTGAGGGTTTAGATTTTGAGTTGGGATTTGAATGGTAAAAAATTTGAATTGGAATGGTTGTATGACGTGATATATATAGGTTTTGATATGACATTTTGAATGTAAAATTAATTTTTAGTATAATATAAAAAAATGAAAAATAGTTATTTGATTCGATGTTTTTTGGTGGAAAAAATTTGTTAAATAGTAGAATTTGAAAGAAGCATTTTTTTTTTTTTTTTTAACTGAGTAATTTTTTTTGATTTCAGCAAAGGTAATCGTAGATCGTGAATCTGGTAGGTCTAGAGGATTTGGCTTTGTTACTTACACTTCTGTCGAGGAGGCGTCTGCAGCCATCCAGGCATTGCATCAACAGGTGTTATTGGTTTACAATTCCCTTACTGAAACTTCATTACATATACATTTTTTATATCATTGCTTAAATCATTTGCTGTAAATCTGCCCCCCAAAAAATGCCCCCCCATTTTCTACACATTAGGAACTTGACGGCCGTAATATAAGGGTGGACTATGCAAACGAGAGAACCCGAGGTCCTCCAGGTGGTGGTGGTGGTGGCTATGGTGGGGGTTACAGGAGTGGCGGCGGCTATGGCGGGAACTATGGTGGCGGCCGTGGTGGAGATGCCCCAGTTACTGGCGGCAGTTATGCAAGGAGTAACAGTTATGGTGGCGAGGATGCTGCTGACCTCGGCAATGATGACAGCGCTGATGAAGCTACTGCTAGTGACGAGGAGTTCGAGGAAAAGGATAGTGGCGATGAAAGCAATTTAGCGGGAGGTGCCGGAAAAGCTTAAATCAAAATACAGTTTACTACTAGAAGGGATCTTTTTTGGTGATGATGAAAGATTTCCGGTTCTCATTTGGCGTCTATCCGATTTTCCGGTTAGTATAGCTATGAAAGCTCCTCTGCCATCTTTTTAATATTCTAGTTATATTTCAATTTTTGTTCTTGTCAACTTGAATGTGTTTTTTTAGGTTCTTTGTTGGTGTTTGAAACTTAGGTTTGGTGCCTTGTGCATGAATGGATGGATTATGTGTAAAATTTGGACCAAAACAATTATGCTATTTGATCAAAATAGCTGTAAGATTTCGTATAAAACTACGTTATTTATTCCTACTACGATGATTTAGATTTTTTTTTTATTTTTTTCACACCTAGTAGAAGTATCATTTATTTTTCATTTATAATACCACATTCGGAAATCACTTTCATTCATAAATTTCGAATTCAAAAAAAAAACAAACACGTGAAGACAAAGAAATCTATATTAAAAAAAAAAAAAAAAAAAAAAAAAAAAAAAAAAAAAAAAAAACACAACCAAACAAAACCCAGGTTCACTTGGGGGTGGGCAAATTCAGTTTAGTTACGATTTTTGATATTTTTAATTGAGCTGAATATATTTATATTATTATATCTTAAAATTTATATTAATAATTATATTTAGTACAATTTTAATTTGGCAATTCGAAATATTTACAAATTTTTTAATGTATTTTTTCTTAAATTCGATCCTATTCTGGTCGAATTATTTGTAAATATTATCTGTTAACTGATATTTTTAATTATTTGTAAATATTTTTGATTCGAATACTTCGAGTATTTGTTCAGTTTGATTCGCACATCAAATATCTTTTTGGTTTTCTTTTTTTTTTTCAAAAAAATTCAAAACACCGCAATTCTAGCACTATTTTAATTCAAAATTGATCTATTCCCAAACCTCAAATCCAAACCAAAACCTCAACACACATTGTAGAATTTATAGATTGGATATTGCAAAAAGCCAAATCCAAAACAATGCCTTAACCAAAAATAGGTGTGCTTAGGCAACAATATGCAAAGCACCAAAAACAATGGAAGAACAAATGAGTGTAGACAATAAGAAGAATCACTCACCAAAAAAGGCCATGAAAACTCACTCTAAACTAATCCAGTGAACTGATCAAATCTTCGAAATTCAACACCAACCAGTCGGCCTTAGCAGCGACATTTTGGCGAAGTTGGATTCCGCCGTAGCAAATAAACAAGTCGGCACCTCCCGGCTGACGAGCCTGTAATACAGTAAGAGTATGTGTAAACTACTCAGAAATTTTCATGGAGATCAGCCACAGTCTACACCAAAACCAATATTGATTTACAAGAAAATTGTAACAAAAGCTCGAAAAATCCATAAGAGATTCTGCATTATATGTAACTATTCAGCCTCGATTATCAAATGAACAATAATTAAAACACAGATATAAAATTTCCCAACCAGTAGATGCATTAAATCCTCCAGGGGTCGACAAAATCTCTGTTTTTTTAAGTTCTATTCATCGAATTTTCTTTCCAGAACCATTATTGTATTTTTTAAAAAAATTAATTTTCATTCATTCGAAACATCTTATAAAAAACTTATATATGAGATCAAACACTATTTTCACCATAATTTTCGCACTATAGAATCTATAATAATAATAAAGAAAAAATTCAACTCGAAAGTATTATTTCAACACAAAATATATATATAAATATATGCAAACATAGCATCCGACCACTATTTTCCACTCGAAAGTTTCCAATTCAAAACAAATCAAAACACTAAATAAATTCTAAATAGCAAGTAAACACCAAAGATGAATATTTCTAACCTCAAGATCAGTGGCGCCGTCTCCAATCATAACTAAAGACTTGTAACCTTTAGCCTGAGCACACACAAAATTGGGTAAGTAGCATAAAATATCATGTGTTGATTTTATAACATAATATCCTTTTGTGTTATAACATATACGGCGTACAATGTCCATTTTCTATTATTCTTACGGTATTAAATGTAAGTTTTGGGTATTTCATACAATAATAATACAAAGGGTAGTTAGCATTATTTCGACATAACAAAGAAGTGTTATTTAAAAAGGGAAAAATTGCAAACCAAGACAAGATAACAGCAATCGAACCTTTCTAATTTGTCGGACAGCAGTGGCCTTTCCTCCACTCCTTGAAGTAGGCTCATTTTCATCGAATCCCGAGAACTCACCAGAGCTTGTGAACAAAAGTTGATTGGCGTAAATGTTCTCGAGAGGTATCCCAAGGATTGTTGCAACAGGCTTCAAAGAATGGCTTACGGTTAGGAGTAAAAATTGATTATAGAATCGTTGGAAGTGGTTTTCCCATTAATAGAAGTGTAATGAAAATCCATTCATTTCAGAAAATGCGCCGTACTTTAGGCCCCCCTGGAACTCTTTTAATTAACAAAGTCGTGATTTGCAGTAGAGATTCGAAACATGAACATGAGTAAAAGATAGCATGCTTTCAAAATAAGAATCTTACATTTATCATTTGACGGAAACCTCCAGAAACCAGAAAAACAGCTTTGTTCTTCTCCTTGAGCTTCTTCACCAACTGATCAATGCCGGGAGAAAGTCTAAATCGACAAAATTAAAGCAATCACAACCAGAAAGATTAAAAGTTAACCAACCGTCAATAATGCCATTATAAACAACACAAATGTAAACTAATCCATAGTTATGAATTTTTTATATTTTTTACAGTCTCCTACAAAAGACCAATAGAATATTCCTACAACTTTTGTTGCTTTCAGCGGCACTTTTGATTAGAGAAAAAACAGGGATGCACAGTGACCCCTAAAGACCATCAAGTATTTTAAGCTAGTCTAGAATAGGGTATTGTGTTGTCAACATTCAATGTTCGATTATTTCCGATCAGTCATTATCATGTACAAAGATACTACTTAGGCACAAATAACAAATGCATTCTATACAATAAAAGAATATTGTATAAATATGGACTGCAAAATATTGTCCAGAAGCCAGAGGATGAATTTCGAGTGTAACAAACTTAACTTTATATCAAATAATACCTTAAGAAAACTTAAATTTAATAGTTATCGAATCATTAACCCCAATTTAATTCAAATGTATTTTTACTCAGATCCAAGTACATATATATATATATATATATCCTCCTACATGTTAGAATCTAATAATCACCCAAACAACATTACAGCATCATTCAATTGGTATACAATATTGTATATATAAAATTGAAAATTGATCCCAAAATGAAGAATGTGATTCCTTGGGATAATACATTAATTTAGTCGTTGCAGTGGTCAAGAAAAGAAACAAAAAGCCAAAATCAATCCCGCATTAGCACATTATCATAATAGATCCTTAGATGCTGTTCTTCAGATGATAAATTTTAGCGATCAATTTAAAACCAATACCAACAACTATCCATTGAAGATAAATATGTCGCCACAACCATACAACAAAGCTTAGTACCTTGGAGGCCTCTTGTCAAGGAAATCCTGCACTTGTGACAACGATGGACTAAAAAGCGATAACCTGGCAGCCAAAGCTTCCTCGAAAGGAACAGAACCGCCCATGGCCCTGTCAAATAGATGCAACAAACTTATAACATGAACTATAGATTTCATTTTGGGGCTAAAATTAGAGAACAACTTTCGATTTTCCACTAGATAAACTAAAAATTAAATAATTGAAATAAGACCTGGCAGTCCAATCTGCAACAGCTTGACCAGCTCCACAAAACTCGGCGAGCTCATCAATCCCCTCATCAACACAGACTGTGCTATCCACGTCAAAACACACGGCGTCGGAACTGCTCCACACATCAAGGACATCTAGAAGAATACTGCATTAATCAGTGCACAGTTTCTCATTCGAATAAAAAGTCATATGCAGTGTTTAAATTAAAGCTCCAGAACAGTCTAATACCAAAATCAGTCCTTAAGAATAAACAACTTCCTATAATGTCCGAATCAAAGCCACTCGTCATCATTTTCAATTTCCTAGTTAAGACAGTGTAAATGTTATCCGATGTGCAAGTCAAGTTTTACCTTTGGAAGGCAACATGTTGTCGAAACGGTCGGGTGTTACGGCACCCAACGGTTGAACAGAAGCAGCCACTGAACTCAATGATTTTTGGCTTCTCAGAACACCAAATGGACTAATAAATGCTTTTCTTGCAAATCTCGGAGTCAATTCGGGAACAAGTTTCGAATTTTGTTGGTTTACACTAAAAGATTGAACATGATTCACTTTGATACTCAGCAAGCCCTCCATCAAATATATCTGATCTTAATCCATCAAGAAAACAATGCATAAGCCCAAAATACAAAAGAAAAACAAGAATATGTATTTAACATTCTGCAAGAAAGACATCATTAAGAAACATCAAACAAAATGTCTTAATACAACACTCTGATTTCTTGTCAAAGATTGGAACCAAATATATATATATATCTGTATATATACAGAATCACGGCGCCATTTCGTGCAATTACGTACAGCATTCATCAAACAAAAATTCTTTCTTACTTTGGATTAAATACCAAAACGATAGTCCACCATTAATCTATTTGCAGAAACACAAATAGGCATTCATAATACCTAAAATTGGTCGGTAGAGGAACCAGATTTTGCGAATTCGATGAATGTGCAGAAGCGAGAAGGTAAATCAGAAATTACCGTTTTTTGTTCTTCCGACGTCTGCTTATTGTTGCTGGAGAAACAGAAATCTTGGATGATGTAAGAAAGGAATCTTGGCAAGATCAAGATGAAAGGATGTGAAAGATCTTCGCACCTACTGCGAGTGAGCGACCAAAGGCCAATTGGCGCACCCTCACCAACTTCTCTCTCTCGTTATTAATTTATGTCTTCTTTTTATACTTTTTAAATTATTGCAAGAGAATATGTACGGAAATTTACAGGTAATTCTGCTCTAACAATAATAAGAAGAACAAATCTGCGTTAGGGCTAATTAGGGAGTATCAATTATATCTTTTACTTAATTATGTGCTCATTTAATATTTTTTTTCAATAATTTTTTCGAATAAAATAAATAAATAAATTAATAATATATTAATTTTTTGTTTTATAAATTTTTAGAGACAAATTGTTATATATGATTTTACAAAAATTATAAAAATAAATTATTAATCAATTATTTATTTATTTATTTTATTCAAAAACATTAATTAAAATATTTTACTTTGTATAAAACTAATGTAATTTTAGTCTTTATTTAGAATCAAACATTATTTTTGGACAAATAGGATGTTTCGTGCAAATTTTACACACAAGGAGTTTGACGCAATAAATAAAACATGAATATTTTATCCATTTTTATTAAAACACGGAATTCTCATATAATTTACTTTTAAAATAATTATATGTATTAATGTGATATAAATTTGACTAAAAAGAAGCTACTATTTTATACATTTTCAGCTATATTATATTATTAGTTATAAATTTAGATTTACCCTATGATAAATTTATATAGATAATATATTTTTTAATTAAAATTCAACGATCAAGTTGAGCTTTTTGCAAGAATTTCTGCAAGATTCCTCATTAGAAGGCGATGAAGTCACACCATGTACGATCATGGACTGTCAAATGATAGAAATAGCGATTTTTATAAATATGTGACATATTTTACAAGATAAATATAAAGACAAAAAAAAGTAATAGTGGTATACAAGAGGGATATTTTTTTCAATTTTTCGTGTCATGATTGGATATGATGAGTATAGATTCATAGTAGAAGATGAGCTATGTGGACAAATTTTTGAATTTGAATAGTTATATAATCTAATATAAATAGACGTTGATGTGATATTTTGAATGTAAAAATATGAAAAATGAAAAATAGGTGTTTGATTTGATGTTTGGGAGGAAAAAAAAAAGGATGAATAGTGGATTTAAAATCCCATCTTCCAAATAAACACACCCGTCGTATCCATCTCCTTTCGACTGGATCCTCCTGGCCAAATGACATTGGTAATGCCGTTCGCTCTATTTATATTTTCGAAGTTTTGGATTCAACGCCGGACATGGTTGAGTGGGATAGGCTTAAAATGTTGAGAGTGTTGTGTGCACATGGAAAAATATATCTCGACTTCCCTTTGCTCGAGCAATTTCACACATGTTTCATTTAAAGTACTTGGCTTGGCCTGGAAATAGCTATGATATCAAGTTTCTTTCATCCATATCAGTGCTTCGGAATCTTCAAACCTTGATCATTAATGGTTCCTCGAATTTGGAAGTTAAAACGGCTACGGTATCTTATGATTGATTCGAGCCATTAATATGATTCCAAACCTTCGAAAATTGAAGATAGTTTGCTGCAGAGACAGGTCCCTTTCCCGATGGAAGTTTCCTGCATCGACAATCTTGTTGGTTTAACCCAGCTTGAGGAGTTCAGAGTGCATCTTGTTGATATGTCTTGAATCCAGTTTGTCACTTCACTGAGTTTTACGGAGGTCTCACTGCCCGGTCAGCGAGTCAGGGGGTTAAGGGGGGCGAAGTCCCTTGCTTGGGTCCGGAGGCACGGAGAAACCCTCAACCCGACAGTATGCAGTATTGGGCTTTTAAGCTCGTTTTGGGCTGAACCCGTCTGCTTTATTTTCTTACAATACCAAAAATAGTATATTTGTAACGGAATTATATCTCTAAAATTCACGTAGCTAACGTAATTTCATCCCTGACGGAAAAAGTGAATTTGGGAACGAAAAAAACTTTGTTACGAAAATGATATTTTCTTGTAGTGTTAGTTGATTTGAACAACGGACTTAGAGATCTGTAATCTTTAGCCTAGCCGTCATTTTCTTTGTTTCTACCCGTTGAAAGACTTAAAATCTATCATTGCCTTCAGTTGGAGGAGATCCCTATTGAGATTGGGGGCATTGACACTCTTAATTGCGTCGAAGTGTGGAGAAATGAACGCGATGGAGATTCAGCAATACTGATTCAACTTGACCAAGAGCGCGCGGGAAATTACGAGCTTCGAGTTTCGGTGTATGTTTGATAGTTCTGGTGAGCTCTCTGTCTCTATTTACTCTTAAGTTAGTTCATCATTGAATCAAACAAGATTTATGTTACTTTCAGCTCTTACATTAGCATATTCTGTCCTGGCTAAAGTTTCTAGTCCACTCTTGTGTCTTCTTCTTCCTAGTGTTTGTTTGGCGATGAATTCGAATCTCATTTTGGTTTGCAGTAGCCGAATTTCCATATTTGGCAGGTTTTCGTTGAGCCTGGATGAAAATACCATGAGTACCTGACCGCGACAAAAGATCATTTGCCTTAACAATCATCCCGACTTCAAGTCATTCAAATTAGTGAAACAAGAGGAATAGGGAAAACCAGTTTGGCGCGAAATGTAGACCAAACCTCACCAAGGCTTCGTCGCAGCAAAAGGCCCGAGCGCAATAACCTTATATCATTCATACGTTCAACCAACAAATGCTGGCTTCTGATGGGGAGGTATATCTCCTGAAAAAAACATATGAAATCACAATTCATGTCAAGTAAAAACATGTGGGGAGGGGGGGTGTAAAAGCCATCATTTCTTGCTCATTGAAGAAAAAAGACATCAGCTCCAAATGCCACAAGATGATTCATAGTAAATAAAGCGAATACTAAGCGAAAGCCGTGAAACAAAACAAAATGTCGAGCAAGATGAAGCACGGGAAAAATGAAAATCTTGCTAAGAAAAGATCGAGCTTACCATACTTGAGATGACCAACAGAAACTTGAAGTACATCGTTTCCCATGTCGCGTTGCTCTTCTAGAATTCGGATAGCAGATTCTGCTGTAGCGTTGTTTCCATCTACAAGAATGGTTTTAAGAGTCAGAATGTTCCCTATTTCAAGAGGGATCTGCACCAGCCTGCACGACTTTATTACAAGGTGTTCGAGGCATGGAAAGCAATCTGTCTCAGCTCGCCAGTACTTAAGATCTAACCACTCCATCAAGATGAATTTGAGGCTACGGAATTCTCCCTCAATCGGTTTCCATTCTTCTCCCAAATACGAGCCTTTTCGTAGCTTGAGCACTTGCAAATTTGGCAATGCACCCACCACACTAAGATCTTTCCATGGAAGTAAACAACCTGTCATCGACAACTTCCTCAGACTTGGTGGGAAGGCAAAGCTACCAGGAAAGGACTCAACGGGTGGATGATACGACGAGCATTCTTTTTTAAATGATACTTCAAGATTTTCGAGATGTTCGAGATGGATGAGCTTATTAAGGCCATGTAACCTCCATTTGCAAGTGCCTTCAGCTCCTCTGTACCATGTTTTCAATTTTCTGAGGTTTGGGATTCTTTCAATGGCTTCATCGGTGAATGTAAAGTCGTACACAGTCATTAGAGTCTGCAAATATTCCAATTTTACAACTGCATTAGAACCAACACCGGGAGCAGGTGGCAAGTTCATTTCCGAAACCAGGAGATGCCTTAGCTGTGTCATCTTCCAAAACTGAGGAGGTAATACGACAGTACTGATAACATAATTCGTAATAATTAAGGTCTGAAGATTCTGAAGCTTGGACAGGGAGGGAGGAAGGCGTACCATCCGTGCTTCGAATCTGAATACGTGCAAATGAAGATACTTTAGATGAAACATACGTAAGATTGCTTCCGGGATTGAGCTAGTTGTCCTGAAATGCACAGCCATTACTTTCACCAGTTTATACCTGTCTCGGTTCTCTTTCTTAAACTCCGAGAACATCCTGTTTTCAGACCACTCAGGGACAGGCCGGTAAAGGTAGCTACTAACAAATGGATAGTATTGACGGAAATGAGGATAGCCATGGAAATTGAAGTGTTGCTGACTTGCATACCTCTCTTGATTCAAAAACACAACGCCTCGTTCGATAATGAAAGAAAGATTTTGCCGAGAAGCTATATCTTTGCAAATGTCCCTCAAAAGGTCATGCAAGACACACGACGTGAATCGGCCGTCACTTCTCTTCTTAGTGATGACAACAAGATTTCTTCGAACAAGATCCTCTATGCATTCCTCCCCGACTTCTTTTAGGCTTTGCAAATCCCGGTGTGGCCTCAAAAACCCGAGATGAATCCACATCTCAATAAGACGAGAGATCCTTATGTTATGATCCTCCGGGTGACTTCCAATGTATAGAAAGCATGCCTTCAGATGATGAGGAAGGTGAGCGTAACTCAAATATAAGATCTTCGAAAAGTGGCTATCCTTACTACTCAAAACTGTACTCATGTTCCTTGCAAGCTGCTTCCAATCATTGAGTATTAGCGCAGCCTTGGAAAGGATCCCCGCGATTACAACTATTGCCAGAGGAAGTCCGTAACATTTACTTGCAATAGACTTTCCGATGCTCTCAAACTCGGGAGGACAATGATCTTGAACGAACACCTTCCCTTGAAACAAGCTCCAACTATCCTCCTTGTTTAGGAACTGTATCTGATGAACAATGCCGCAACTACTTGTATATTGGGCAATATCCAATGATCGAGTTGTTAATACAATCCGACTTCCATTACAATCATCAGGGAATATAGACCTCAAATCATCCCAAACTTCTATACTCCATATATCATCTATTACAACTAGGTACCTCATCCCTTTCAAATATTGGTATATTCTCTCCTTTGACGCCTCTGCTTCCTCTCCATTTGATTTGTCAGTTTTCGACATTAAGGATTTCAAGAGACTTTGAAGAACTTTATTCTCGTTATAATGTTGAGACACAGTTGTCCAACCACGATAATCGAAATAATACATGACTAAAGCATCATGAAAAACATTTCTTGCCAAAGTAGTCTTACCTATTCCCCCTGTTCCACTAATCGGAATGACTTGAAGCCGGAGTGATTGTCCACACAGCTGATCTTTTATCGTGGTAAGGTACTCATCGAATCCCACCATAGTATTGGTCTCATCAGGTGTCTGTTCAAACACATGATGAGTAGAAGCATCGGTTTTAAGCTGCAAATTTTTGAATCTTTGCCTTTCCATTATTGTAGCCAGCTCTCCTGTAATCGAATCAATTTCATGCTCCACCATTTCCAAGTTCTTATGAAGCTGATCCTTTCTAGTCAACCAGCGGACAGCCTTATTTATTGCTTTTCTCAATGGTCTAATTTGCTCGAAGATCTCCAACTCAATAATATCCTGTGTGTTGCAGGCTGCATCTCTGATTAGGCCCTCCAAACGGTCAGCTGCCTCTTCGCCTTCAGATGTATAATCCTGCAATAATTCTTCTAAAGCAACAAATTTTCCATAGAGAGATGTCATGATGTTTTCCCTACCACGACGAAAGCTTGGATATCGATCATGGTGGATTATATCCTCGAGTAATTCCCGAAGTGAAGTGAGTGCCGCGTAGTATGCCATTTCCAATATTCGTCTTGGCTTAATTCACACAAACATAATGTTGCAGCTCTGCAATAGTATTGAAAGGAGGAGCTATTTGACACTGTAGAAGAAGGCTTCACATCAAAACATGGTGCTTTTCAAATAGGCAACTTTAAAATCGACAGATAAGACATACAACATTAAGAATAAGACATATTTAATGCTACAATGCAGATGCTGTTTTATAAAAGGCCACTGCATAAGCCGGCAGACCTAAAATAACTCAGTAGAAATTGACAAACTGCAGGCATGGAATCCTATGTCTTAGAGCTGAATAAATTATTAACTTTGTTCATTAAATCTTTCTGTAAATGAATTCAAAAAGTAAAACAAAACCTTATATTCTATTTAACACAGCAATTTTATCTTGTGCTTTTTAATGGCTTTCTTGAATTTCTCTCATATATATGGAGGCATATTTGAGTGATCATTTCTGGTTGCAACAATAGGATTCAATACAAGCTTGATGTGAGATCAAATGTATATACATCATGTAGATAATTGCACTTAGTAGTCTATCTAATGCTATGTCTCTGGATACTATTTTAACTTGTAAATGAATCGAATGTAATAGCTAGTGCCCAATATTAGCCACTAGCTAGAATGTGTTCTTAACTCTTTCGTATATTGTTCGGCCGCACACTTCTATTTTCTAACGTATCTATGTGAATAAGGGATATTGATAAATTTAAAATAGTGTACCATTACTAGAGAACTAATATCCTGAGTATTCTACAAGCTTTTGGTTGATATAATAACAACTACAATCTTTGTTTCTATTGTTTTTCTATCATAGTGTAGTTCTAAAGCATCCAGAAAAACATAATTACTATCTAACCACAAAATTTAGATAGAGGGAGATGATCATGAGATTAATCTTGTTAGACACATCAGGTGATGTTGGTGTAATCTGATATGCCCGAGCGACCTATGGAGCTCGAATAATTGCAAAAGATACTCTAAATGGAATGCAGGAAGGCTGGTAGATAAAACTTACATCTGCATATAAATTCAATGAACAAATTACCAGCTTTGGTAGGGATTTAATTTCCAGAAAAGAGACATGGACATCACAATTAATCCAAGCTAATTTTCATATCCAGTGCCAGTGAACAACCAGGCAACCAATATATGTAACAAAAATAACTAGAGAAACAATCAAGAACATAAAATCCATCAGCTCTTGCTCATTAAAGAAATGCCATATATTATACTCAATACCATGAAAGGAAACGATATGAAATTACAACCCACTGTGTTAACAATCTTGGTAAAGCCAAACCTTGTTGCCAGAAGCTTTCAAGTTTAAAGATAACATATTCAAAGACTCAGCAAGTGAAATAATGTTTAAGAATATGAGCGCAATGAGCTCTGATTGAAACAACGATCCCATTTTTGCAGCAGTCACCTTATATCCTGAAGGTATTTGATTATTGTCGCTACTGGATATGAGTGCTCCCCCGTTGTCTCCTTTACACGACCTTATAATGAACACAGGATGATAGCAAAAAAGATTATGACAAGACAGATGCTAATGAAGAGTGCAAAAAGATCATTAATGTTACCCAGAGCTAATAGTTGAAAAAAGCTTCTCGCTTGAACTGTTAACTTTTTGAGGGCGTGGGGCGTCAGGAAAAGGTGATGAACATAATTGCTTCATGAATACTTATTTTAAGTAAAATTTCATCTATATGCATTTGGTAATTAACTCCAAATGCCACAAGATGATTTAGGATTGATAAAGAAAATATCTATGTTCCAAATAACCAGATTTTTATGTGAGTCATATGAAAGTTTCAATGAAGCAACTATATGGTAAAATGCATTGTTAAATGTGCAGCTAAGAAAAAAGTTACCACGTGATAGATCACGAACAAAAACTTGAAGACCATCATTCCCATGTCTCGCTGCTCTTCTTGAATTTGGATAGCCGACTGTCCCGCATACTCACTCCCATAAACAGGAAGGAATTTGAGAGTTGGTATATCCCCAATTTCAAGAGGGATCTGTTCCAGCTCAAAGCACAGATTGATTTTAAGGTGTTCAAGGCATGGGAAGTGGGCTTTCTCTGCTAGCCAGTACTTGAGATCTAACCATTCCAACAGCAAGAATTTGAGTCTGTAGAATTCCCCCTCTATTGGTTCCCATTCTTCCCCCACGAACGACTGTTGTCCTAGTTCGGCAATGATCCCACCAATGTGAGATCCGTCCATGGAAGTCGACAACCTTGTAGTGACAACTTCCTTAGACTCATTGGAAAGGCAAAGCTTCTAGGAAATGACTCAGCAGATGGAGTATACCGCATAGTTGGGACGTGAAATGAGACTTTCAGTTCTTCTAGCTGGATCAGGTGGATGAGATAATCAAGGCAGTATAAATTCCATCTGTAAGTGGAACCATGTCTTCGGTACCTTGTTTTCAACTTTCTAAGGTTGGGCATCATTTCAATAGCTTCATTGGTGAATGTAAAATCATAAACTGTCGTTAGAGTCTGCAAATTCTCTAATCTTTTGGCCGGATCATCACCAACATTGGAAATAGGTGGCAAGGTCATTCCAGCAACTATGAGATGCCTTGGTTGTGTCATCTTCCAAATTTCAGGGGGTAATATGACAGCAGAAAACACAACATTCCAAATAATCAAGGTCTGAAGACTCTGAAACTTGGATATAGATGAAGGAAGTTGAACCATCCCTTGAATGTTGTATAAATGCATACGAAGGTACTTTAGATGAAACATTCGTAAGATTGCATCCGGTATTTCACAATGCAGCACTGCTTCGTAAAAGGCCAACACTCTCAACAGTTTATACCTCTTCCAAATTGGTTTGTCAGTGCTTGAGAATTCGTGCCCTTTAAAGAACAGAAGAAAGGAGTGGGCAAGTCTACCAGGAAAAGAATATGTCTGATGGAGATTATTGAGATGGAGATTGAGCGGCGTGCATTTTCAACCTTCCCTGGAAATGCAGACATATCCTTATGATTCATAACAAAGAAATTCTGATAAAAAGCCTTTTGTCTGCAAACATCTCTTACCAGATCATGTAAGACACAAGATTCGAATTGGCCACTGCACCCCTTCTTACAGATAATAACAAGATTTCTTCTAACAAGATGCTCCAGACATTCCTCCCCCACTTTTTCTAGGCTTTTAGATTTGTTGGATGATTTCAAAAACCCCTCGGCAACCCACAATCTAATGAGATCTGAGACTCTTAGTTCATGATCCTCCGGGAAACTTCCCATGTACAAAAGACATGCTTTTAACTGATGAGGTAAGTGATTATAGCTTAGAGATACCACACGGGAGATGTGTTCATCTGTTCTACTCAAAACTGTACTCATGTTCATTTCGACGTCCTCCCAATCATTAAGTGTAAGCCCAACATTGGAAAGTATTCCTGCTATTATGACTATTGCAAGTGGAAGTCCATAACATTTACTGACAATAGACTTTCCAATATTTTCCAATTCAGAAGGGCAATGATTTTGTGCAAACACCTTCTCTTGAAATAACTTCCAATTACCCTCCTGATTTAGGAATTGTATCTGATGATGAGCAGAGCCACAACCACCTGCATATTCTGCTATATCCAACGATCGAGTTGTTAACACAATTCGACTTCCATTACAATCATCTGGGAATATATGTCTCAAATCATCCCAAACTTCTATACTCCATATATCATCCATCATAATTAGATATCTCATCCCCTTTAAGTGTTGATATACTCTTTCCTTCAATACCTCCTCTCTGCTTGATTCATCAACTTGCAATCCCATGGATTTCAAGAGAGTGTAAAGAACTTTATTGGCATTATAATCATGGGACACTGTTACCCAAGCACGACAGTCAAAATGATACACAACAAGAGTATCATCGAAAGTATTTCTTGCCAAAGTAGTCTTACCTATTCCCCCTGTTCCAGTAAAGGGAATAACTTGGAGTCGCAGTGATTGCCCACACGGTTGATCTTTTACCGTAATCAGATACTCATTGAATCCCACCATGGTATTTCTGGCATCAAGTGTTTGGTCAAAATCATGAATGCTTGAAGAATCATAGATGACCTGAAAATTGTTTTCTCTTTGCCTTTCCTTGATGGCCACCAAGCTTCTCCACAATTGAATCAATTTCATGCATAACCTTTTGTAAGTCTTTATGATCGTGATTGCTTCTTAACTGATGGAAAGCCTTTTTTATTACATTTCTTGACGCTCCAAGTTGTTCGAAGATCTTTAAGTCTTTATGATCGTGATTGCTTCTTAACTGATGGAAAGCCTTTTTTATTACATTTCTTGTGCTTCGTATGCTGCATCTCTGATCAGCGACCTCATCGCCTCTGGATGAATAATTTCTCGTGGAGAGATTTCATAATCAGCTCCCTACCAACAAGAAACTTTGGATATCGCCCGTGGTGGATTATATCCTCTAGTAATTCAAGAAGAGAAGAAAGAGCTGCATAAAACGCCATTTCCACTATTCCAGAATTCTTCTTAATTTTCACAAACACTATTTTGCATCACTGCATGTTGAAAAGAGGATCTATTTGACATTGTGAACAAAGACTTAACAACAAGACATGATGTAGCATATGTGGTTTTACTAACTTGGTAAGTCAACATATAAAATATTGCAGCAGACAGGCTGGCAACACGAACAGATCAAAATTGGTCTGCACAAACCCTTCAATGATCTGCAAGAAGCAGAAAAGGTCATATAATTTTAATAGAAAGACACCATTCTACAATTCAGATGATGTTGTATAAAGTCCACTGTATAAGCTGGCGCACTTAAATTATTTAAATATAAATTAACTACTGGTATGCTATCATAAGCTTTTAAGTTTGAATTAATATATGTTCACTTATACAATTTCTTTCCAATAAGGAGAAGAATTCTTTCTTTTTTTTTCCTTACAATTTAAGACATCCTTAAAACATCTTCTTGAACATTGCCAACCATCAGGCCCTTCAAGAAGAAGACTTGTGTGTTCCGGCTGATGCTCCTATTATCCCAAGCCTGTGTTCTCTTTGAGGCCTCTGCATAAAGTCAGATCTTAGAGTGTATTAAACACAACAGAAAAAATTTTAAAACGAAAACTCCACATCAGACCATGTCCAGAGATAAAATAGGACCCCGTTCAGAATTTGATAACCTGTAACCAAACAAAGTGTACAGATTGTGCATCTGATATTTACAACGGCAGTATAATAGGAATTGGTTAAAAGCACAATGTCAAGTAACAGTGTGGAGATAATTGGTGACTCTTACATGAACAAGACAGATTACTAGGCAATAGGCATGACCAACATTGGGGCTAAAGAAGACTTACGTGTAAGAAAATGGCGGGTGTGTGGAACCAAGACTGCTTAAATTGAAGACAGACACTGATGTCTACAAAACATGTTTCGGCATCTTGGTGGAAGTGCTCTACAGCACTATTATGGTATCATCATATGCTGAACTTTTTTAGTTCCATAAATCCCCAACCACTGTATAAAAAACATGAAGATGTAATATATATAAGCTAGTTTATGGATATCAAATAATACTTGGTCACTCTTACAAAGAAAAAATATGATAATTACAATAAAAAGATCAAGTTATGGTAAGCACATTAGTGAATTCTCTCAAATAATTCATGTTCAAATGCCTTAATAAATAGCCTGCACAGTTTCCCCAACAGAATCTGATTTCACAATAATGATAAATGTAATGACCTGCAACTAATAATTTATACTAAGTTCACTTATATTTTCAACTCAATTTTTGCACTATTCATAAACATATTTTTTTCTAAATTATATTCCATTCAACACCTATTTTTTAAGTAAAATATTATATCAAAAATTTATTTTCTATATAAAACATCACATTAAGACCTTTTTACATCACATCAGATACTTGTTTCTCATTCTAGTTTTTACTATTCCAAAACTCATCAAAATCCAAAAACACTTCCAAAACCTATCCAAAAATACAGTTAACTTGTAAGAAATTCAATGGATGCCATTTTCGTCAAACAATGAAGACTAGAAAGATACCTGGTTTCTTCACCCTCCCAAGGGGATGATCTGATGCTTCAAGTGCTTAACTCCCCAACTCCATGACATGAGCAAATACATAATGGCATGGCAAAGTGCATCACAAAATCACCAATAATTATTACAAGAGCACATGCCATGGCGGAAGTGGTGGAAGCGGCTGGCATCTCGAATTACAATCTCTTCATTGACTATGCTTGAGACAAATTTTACAAATTCATGACAGTCTCCACATATGCGAAGGTTCTTGAAGATTCTGATTTTTCCACTACTGTTTTTGTTAATCAAAGCGAAACCCAATGCCAACCTTTCACTATGATGAAAAAGGTTCTCAATTTTTTCTCTGTCCGTCGCATTCTGAAGCACATATTTTGTGTTTGGCACATATCCTATAGCAGAAACCTTCTGTCCCAACTCCTCCAACTTTCGATGAATGTCCCTCAGGCTTGGGTGTGACACATCTTGAGATAAGAAAGTATGGACTTGAGCATTGATCTCAACCCAGCTGCACCCTGGTTCCTTTTTTATGCCCTTACTGGACATGGACGCCCTTAGCTTAGAAACATCTCTCCACCTTCCTCTCTGTGCATAAAGATTAGATAGCAAAATATAGTTTGAATCTGTTTGCGGCTCCATTTGAAAAAGTTTATTTGCTGCTCTTTCACCTAATTCAATGTTTCCATGGAGTCGGCATGCCCCAAGAACATTCTCCCAGATCAAAGCATTTGGTGTTAGCTCCATTTGCTCAATCAAGCTTTCAACCTCATCAAAGTTTCCTGCTCGACCAAGTAAATCAACCAAGCAAGCGTAGTGCCCAATACTTGGAGTAATTCCATAAGATTCACTCATTGTGTAAAAATACTTTCTCCCTTCTTCAATCAACCCCATGTGGCTACATGAAGTAAGAATCCCAATAAAAGTAACAGCATCCGGCAATACTCCTTTATTCACCATTTCTCGAAATGTTTGAAGTGCCTTTTCACCCATGCCGTGTTGAGAATATCCACAAATAAGTGAATTCCATAGAATAGTATCATTAGAAACCATGCCAGAGAGCAACAAGCTGGCACTCTCAATGCACCCACATTTGCTATACATGTCAATCAGTGAACTAGCTACAAAATTATCAGCAGAGTGACCCAATTTAACCGCCAGGGAATGCAAGGATCGCCCACTTTCAAGGCTTGCAATCCCGGAGAAAGCCTTCGAACAGCTGGCCAAAGTGAATTCATTCGGAATAACACCTTCTCTGCGCATCTTGTTGAAATGGCGAGCAGCTTTTTCATCTTGATCCGTCTGCGAGTATCCCGAAATGAGAACTGTCCAAGTGAAGATGTCCCTCTCATGTAATCTGTTGAAAATTGTTTCAACATCTTCGGTGCGTCCACATTTAGCATACATGTCAACTAAAGCGGTTCCCACATTTTCATAATCCTCAAATTTACCTTTAATAACATGTGAGTGCACTTGTCTCCCGAATTCGACATTCAAGGAGCTCGAACAAGACCTCAATGTGCTGATGAACGTGTATTCATTGGGCCTCAAACCTTCTACAAGCATCTGGCTGAAGATTCTGGATCCTTCATCAGAAGTTTCCACATGGAAGCCCGATAGAAGGGCATTCCAGGAAACTACATCCCGATTAGCCATTTTATTGAAGATTCGATAGCCGTCATTAATTGACATAAATTTCATATACATCCCTATAAGTGCATTGCTGACCAACTCATTGAATTCAAAACCAAATTTATAAACACAGGCATGGATACTTTGACCGTATCTCAGGTCACAAATATCAGTTGCAGCACTAACAAGACTTGACAACGTAAACTGATTAGGCCTCATACCAGAAAGCCTCATCGAGCAGAATAACTTAGCTGCTTCTTTATTTAAACCTTGCTGATCGAGCACGCTAATGATTGAACTCCACGCAACTACATCAGGATTTTTTACCACCTTAAAAACTTTAAGGGCATCGTCAGCTACTCCGCATTTAGAGTACATATTAACCAGGCTACAACTAACAAAATCATCAACGTAACCCCCAATCTTGATTACAATAGAATGGACTCCCTGGCCAGCTCTCAAAGCACCACACCGAGCAATTCCTTTTAAAACAATTGATAGGGTATAATTACTAAACCTCATTTCTGGCTCCACCATTTCGCAGAACAACCTTACAACGGCTTCGCCATGTCCAACCTGTGCATAACCATTTAGCAAAGCATTCCACATCACATTATTCTTCTCTGGCATCATACCAAAAATGTCATCTGCATATGCCAATTCCCCACATCTGGTGTAAAGATCAATCAAAGAAGAACCAATATACGCGTCCGAAATCACGCCGATCTTGACCACCTCACCATGCAATTGTTTACCAACCTCCAAATCCAACGACGCCGAACAGCCCTTCAATACCGTGGCCAGAGTAAACTCATTTGGTCTCACATCCTCCCTCGTCATCTCGCAGAACAACTTCACACTTTCAACCCCATATCCTTGAGCTACAAAACCAGATATCAAAGCAGTCCACGACACAACATCCTTCGACGGCATTTGCTTAAACACATGACGTGAACATTCCAAAGCACCACATTTTGCATAGAAGTTTATCAACGAAATCCATAAATGTGTATCCAACTCAGCTCCACTTCTAACTATATGACCATGAATCGCTTTTCCCTTATTCAAGTTAATTTCTTCCGCACAATCTTTTAGAATCTCCGAGTACCATTTAAGCCCACTCCTCCCCATTCCCCTATCTCTTTTAACCTCTGTATCAAAGTTCTGTGGTTCATCCAACGCACACCCAAGTTGCAGCTTTTCAGATATTCTTTGGCCATTAAACTCCCGATTACACTTTTCCGTAATTGGTAAAGCACCAGCGGACAGGCAGGCGCAGAATCCGGGCGAGTAGAGCCGATGGTTTTTGTTCAGAAAAAACATCGAACACCTCCTGGGCGCTCCATGAACAGTCGATAGCACTCTCTGGTTAAAAGTTTGGGGCTGTTTGTGCATCTGTGAGCTGGCAAATTCGAGCCCCATCAGGTTGTTCTGAGAAAATTGAGAAGCCTAGCTCATCCCCAAGTGAACACGAAAATTGCGGTAGATAGGGTGTGTTTGTCTGGGTTTGGATTTTGAGACAGGTAAAAATTTTCTGATATAAATAAGTGTTAAGCTAATATTTTAAATATAAAAATAATATTTTAAATATAATATAAAAAATAAATATTTAATTTAATATTTTTAAAAAAAATATAAAATAAATAATATAATTAAAATTCAATCTTAATAGCTTGTTTTCAAGTATCAATTCTTTTTCTAAATTATTATATCCTTATTTCCATGCGTTTAATGTGAAATAAAAAATAAATTTTAAATTTTTATTTAAATAATAATATTTTTAAAATTAGAACGGACGACATCATAAATATGTTTTTAAAAAAATCTTTAAATATATTTTTTATAATATATATAAGATGAATTTCATAAATTCAGGATGGTTAAATCTAATCAAAATTATTTATTTTAATGAAATATATTTTATAATCTTATAGAAAATTAATATATAATATAATTTTTTTATATTACTTAGATAATTATTGTGCATAAAAAAATATACTTCAAATTAAAACACTAAACAAACAAATTTATCTATTATTTTTATTGTACTTATACAATTTTAAGAAAAAATCAAATTTAGTCCAAATATAATAAGAATTTATCAATTTTTATTATAAATAATTTCAATCCATTTTGATTTCACGTTAAAAATTAACAAGCAGTTGACCTGAAACAATATGGTCATTTTGTCACATGACGGTGTATAATGTTCATGTCGTCATATGATCATGTTTAATTATATATGGTCGTGTCTCATGTACTTTTCTATTTTAATCTAATTTTTTTTTTATATATTTTGTTTAAAAAGAAAAAAGAATTTAGAATAGTTATATAGGTAAAATGAAAAAAATCAATAGTAATCCAATATAATTAAAATGTATCAATTTTATTTAAATATAAATATTACGAATATATTATTTTGGAAGATTTTATCTAAATTCTATTGTTTACCAAATTTTTTCTTCTTAGAAATATTCAACTACACAACTATTTTTTATTATAGTCTTAAAAAATAACTACACAATTTTGATTCTACTGTTAAAAAAAATAACTACGATCAAAAGACACGCGTTGCCGACGGTTGATACTCGCGGTCCTTAGCCCTGAATGGCCTCGATCTGCCTATGACTATGTGTGTGTGGCCTTTACAGAATATTAAACACGATTGGAGATTCCCGTTTGCGAATAAATAAATTAATGATTCTTTTGTTTGAGCTTTAAGATTAGACTGTCATTCTGCGCACCTAATTAGAGTCTCACCTTCCCTATTTCGGCATTTGCATGTAAAAATATTGGATATGTTTACTCGTAAGATTATGATTTTTTAATTTTGGTTTTAAATAGTAAAATTTTGAATTGAAATATTTATTTGATATGATATAAATATATATGGATGTAATATTTTGAACGTAAAATTAAATTTTAATATAATAAAATAAATAAAAAAATATATTTAATTTGATTTTTAAAGAAAGCCGTTATGTTTCTATAATATTATATCAGTGTTTTTCCCAAAACCAGGTTTGTTCCCTCAAGTAGACATTTGCTGCAAATGGCAGCAAAAACTGCATTTTTTTATTATTTTTTTTAATATATATTTTTTTTCAAATATTATATTTATTTAATATTTATAATAATTATATGGTAAAAAAATTATATTCAATATATATGTCATTTGTAGAGAATAAAATTTTGTATAATACGAATAAATAAAAATTTAAATATATATATTTGGTATAATGTAAATTAATAATCAAATCATATAATATAAATTTTATCAATTAAATTTAGTACATATTTATATTATTTTATTAATTATCCATTAAATCAATACGACTCCTCGAATCCCAAATAGTTCCAAATAGTTGTATGATGCGATATAAATATAAATAGGCGTTTGATGTAATATTTTGAATGCAAAATTAATTTTTAATATAATATAAAAAATAAAAAATAAGTATTTAATTTAATATTTTTTTTTAAAAAAAATAGGATAATAGTTTATTTAAAATTCAATAGCCAAACACACCCATATATATGATTATATCCCTATCTTTACTACAACTCAAATACGATAATATATAATTTTTTAATATTTGTATTTTATACTTGCTAAAATTCCAAACCCTAAAGTAAATATTCCCAGATACAGAAAAGCCTAACCAGACGGAAGGGATCTTCAATGGCGTCGACGGAGAAGCGATGCTACTACGAAGTCCTCGGCCTGAGCCGCGATTGCACAGCCGACGAAATTCGATCGGCGTATAAGCGTCTCGCCCTCCAGCGCCACCCGGACAAGCTCGTCAAAGGTGGCGTCCCGGAGGCCGAGGCCACGGCCGCTTTCCAGGAGCTTGTCAACGCCTACGAGGTCTTATCCGACCCTAAGGAGCGGGCCTGGTACGACTCCCACCGGAACCAAATCCTCTTCTCCTCCGGTTCCGGTGACGGAGGGTCTTCTGATTTCGTGCCTGATTTGTTTTCCTTCTTCTCCAATTCGGTTTATTCTGGATACTCGGACTCTGGACGGGGGTTTTATAAGGTGTACGGGGATCTATTCGAGAAGATTTATGCTAATGAGTTGAGTTTTGCGAAGAAATTAGGGTTGCCGTTGCCGAGAGAAGCCCCGGTCATTGGCAATTTGGGGAGTCCTTATGCTCAGGCAAGTATTTCGATTACCCTATTCCTTTTATTGATGAAAGTGTGTTTGTTTGCGAGTTCATATATTGATTTTTTAAGCTGGTAATCTATAATGCTAATTAAGAATTTGGATATTGTAAGAGCTAGAAATTTTAGTTTAAGTTCTTAATGTTCGTCAATTTCTGAGTTGTAAATTTTAGTTGATAGGCGTAATTACCAACATGATAGTTTAATATTGTATAGATTTTGTCGTGGGAAGTTCATCTTTTGGAGTTCCTGAAATAAGCTTTAGACTTTGCATTGAGCTATGTATTTTTAACTGATTTCTTTTATATGAACATGTTCATGTTCTTAGCAAGTTTAAATGTCGAAGATTAGCAAACATGTTAAACTAGAAAATCAGCTGGAGCAGAAGTATGCTATGCAAAATTATATGTATATATATATATATATATATGTATATTAGGGCTTTTAATTCTTTAGTTGTGATGGTAATTTCACTCAAATGCAAACTCATCTTGTCCTCCATTCCTTTGATAGCATCATATCAATCATCTTGGTAACTATTTGTAAGAAAAATATTGACTAAATCGATACTTTTATTGGAGCTATTATTAATGAAGTTTTTCATTAGCCAAGTCGTATGTTGGATATCTCTACTGAATAGGTCTTTATTGCCATTTATCATGTTTGGCATTTGTCATTTTGAATATGCAGGTTACAGCATTCTACAACTACTGGTTGGGATTTGTGACCACAATGGACTTCTTTTGGGCAGATCAATATGATGTTATGGCAGGTCCCAATAGGAAATCGAGGAGGTTGATGGAGGAGGAGAATAAGAAATTGAGGAAAAAAGCAAAGAGAGAGTACAATGAGACGGTGAGGGGACTGGCTGAGTTTGTGAAAAAGCGGGATAAGAGAGTGATTGATATGCAAATAAAACGGAATGAGGAGAATGAGAGGAAAAAAGAGGAAGAAAAACAAAGAAAGAAAGAGTTGGAGAGACAGAAAGCAGAAATGGCAAGAAAATATGAGGAGCCAGATTGGGCGAAAGTGGAGGAGCTGAATGAAGATGAGAATGAGGACGATGATATAGAAGAAAGGAAAAATGAATTATATTGTGTAGTATGCAGAAAGAAGTTCAAGAGTGATAAGCAGTGGAAAAACCACGAACAGTCTAAGAAACATAAAGAAAAGGTAGCAGAACTGAGGGAAGCATTCAGCGAGGAGGATAAAGAATTTGAAGCTACGCAAGGCCATGGAAACGGGGTGGAGGATGAAGATGATAATGGAGACGCTGCCGCTTATTTGTCAGTAGACGACACTGTGAATGAGTTACAGGAGCAATTTGAGGATGGCGTTGATCTCCATGAAGATGACATTGACGATGGAAAAACTGAGTCTAGTGAGGTAAATGAGTTTGCTGATGATAAAGATGACAACCAGAAGCATATTGATGCAGATCCGAGATTAGATGATGATGACGAGGCAAGTGTTCTTGAGGCTATGTTGTCTGGGCATAAGAATAGGAGCAAAGCAGGGAATCAACCAAAGGCTTCGGCTAAGAAACTCCAACCAGAGGTTGATAGTGATGACTTGGAGGCGATGGAATTGAATGAACTGAGGGGTTCACGGAAGAACAGAGGAAACAGGAGGCGTAAGGGTAGACGACAAGAAGAAGAAGAAGAAGATGAAGAAGCAGAACCGGTAAAAAAAGGTGGGGCGACACAGAAAAATGATGAGGCTGAAAGACATGATGAACAATATAATGATGCAGCGGAGTTAAGTTCCCATTCATTGCCAGAATTTGATGCTAGGAAGAGAGCTGATGATGCTGCAGAAAATGTTCTTAAGCATCCACAGAAAGCTGTGAACAAGAAAAATACGACGAAGAAGGAAATTGTTTCAAAGTCAAAGACTGCACCCAAAGGAAGAAAACAAAAGGTACCTTTTTGTCCCAAGACATCAATCAGTGAAATTGCAATAGAAATCATGTTTTAGTTCACCTCTTTTACATGTTAAATGATTATGATGATATCTAATATTGGTTAATTTAGTACTCCCTCCGTCCAACCACAAGAGTTACATTTACCTTTTGCATCATTGTATTAATATTAAAAATATTCTTATATTATTGTCTGCCACACATGGTTCGCCTAGTGTGACTTGCTTTGTTGGACCTAGTTTGCAGACTATTAGGTTTGGTTTATCAGAGCGCATCAGAAGGGTAGCGGCGGCTGATTCCCACGTTCTATATATAAAAAAAACTATATCCTTATTTGTGTATAATTTTTTTATACAAATGTTATTATACTATAATATAAAACACTAATAGAATTATTTTTGTCATTTTTACTATGTTTAATATAATTACTATTAAAAAATCAAAATGTAAAAAGTAAATGTAACTATCAAGATGGAGGGAGTATTAGAAAAACTCGACTGTAATTATCTTCTTTCTCGAGGAGAAGAATATATGTTATGATTTTTACTTATATCTTGTCCCAATCAGGCAGTGTACAGCAGCATAGTTGCTTTCTCCTTACTATTTTCTTAACAAGTTTGTTGGTTCGATCAAATTTCAGGGAGCAGAAAATAGTTCCAGCAACACATGTGAGAAGTGCGGTGTGGAGTTTGAATCAAAGTATGTTTATTTAACTGTCCCTAGCTATATCAATTTTTCTGATCACTCTTTGATATCCTTTGCATTTTTCTTTCAGGAACAAACTGCACAAACATTTGGGGGAAACTGGTCATGCTTCAATAAAATCACGGTGATGTTTCGATTTCTTAGTAGTAAAGAAACTTGTATGTTCTTCCTCAACTGGTGCCACTTTTAGCTCTCCGGTGGCAATGAGTTAACATCCCATTCTTTCTCTGGTGTGGATTAAGCATTGCCATGTTCACGTCAGATTGCAATCATTGATTCCGTCATGAATTTACTTGTCTGCCCAGGTATTTTCCTGATTTTCTCAGACAAGGCTTCACACTTGAAAAGGATTATATATATATATATATATACACACACCAATCTTTTATGCTTTTTTGCATCGTGAATTGCAAATTTTGACGGCAATTGAAAAACCAGCATTTACTAGAAGTGATATAGGCTTAGATTTATTGTAACTATGCTGCTGTTGAATATGTCGAGTTATACTTACCTGTGGAAATAATTGATCCCATCGGATGTGGGACTTTAAAAATTGTTGAAAATATTCGAGTTTTGAAATTTAGAAAGTTGCATTTCTCGCTAGGCTTGTTTTCATTGCTGAGAAGTTCTTCGAGTCTGTAGACATTATATCATTAGTGCCTATATATATATATATTTTGTTTGGTTCTTGCCGTGTACGGGTTTGGTTTAGCAAGAATGATTCAAATATGTTTGTGAATATGTATGGAATGAAATGTAGTATCACAAAGGTTGGAGTTGGATAAGAAAATTTGTATCGATAAATATTTATGGTGTATTGGTTCATTTTTCAGAATATATCTTTTGCACAATAAATGATGCTTTGATGCATATGTGTTGGAAAAGCTATGGAATCAGTTCTGAAAATGTCTTGACTCTATCAATTTATTTTTAGTTTTTGCATTGAAATCTGCCTATTTTTGAAAAATATATCTACTCAGAAAAATATTTCAGTTTGCTTGTGGATTTTTAATCCAAATTTTATTATCTATTATTTATTTTTCAAAAATTATCAAATTAAAAATGTATATATATATATATAGTTATACATGCAAAAAAGTAAATTTACATTAAAAATAGTATATTAATTTTTATCTATATTACATCTAACAATTATTATTCTAAATTCAAAGTTCAACGATAAAATCCACAAATACTCGTTTGTCCCCTTTTATTTTATATAAATTTGTTAGTATAATAATTGTATTTTTACTTAAATAAAAAAATAACAAAATAAAATAAATAAATAAATTTTCTATATTTGACACGGTGTCATTATATTTGATTGGATTGAACTAGTTAAAAATACTCTTGTTGTAAGTAGTTAGAGCTCTGTTATTATTGTATTTCATCATATTAAACTTCCTGTTCATACGAACTTCAATGACAAGCACTATTATATGCCACTATTTTAGTCATAATGATGTGTCTAAAAAGAATTTGATATTTTGTGGGAGAAAATAGTGTATTCGATATGTTAGCTGTTTTCTATTTTATTCATACCACACTCCAATATAATTAAAATTTCGTGTAAAAAATAAATGGATAGATAAAATAGGGACGGATGAAGTGTTAATTTTGATACGAAAGACTAAAAAGAAGAAACTCAAGAAAGTTGAAAACAAAAATAATAATCATGCCTACAATAGACACTTTCTCAAACACTAGATACAATTTTCACTAGAGACCTATAGACTCAATAACTATGTCGACTAACTGACTGACTATACATTGTCAATTAACTCCTACTATCGACTTCTCAAACATTTTAAGCATGAAGAAATCCGAGCAAGGCTTTTGGTAATAGGCACTTTCTCCATCACTTAAGCACAACAAATATACAACATAACAAGGGAAAAATAGAAGAAAGACAAGATCAATGCTGCCCTACTGCAGTAGCGAATCCAGGTTTGTCGAAAACCTTCAAATAAACGCAAGAGTAGACTAAAAACTTCAGACAACATTAGCCGGGATAGAATGTGCTCATGTAAGAGCTGAAAGTAGTATAAATTTTGTACGAGTCAACGATGAACTAACTTAAGAGCCACCAAAATAGACATACTTTTCTATTGTGAATCCATAAAGGGCCACAGCAAAAAATCACTATAATGTAAAACCATGCCATCAGTAAATAGAAACAGAAATCTCTGGCAAAGAGAGCTCACCAGAACTATACACCATACACAGAAACTTGAAGCTCGTAATTTCCCATGCGCTCTTGCTCTAGTTGAATTAGTATTGCTGAATCTGCAACACATTCATTTCCCCACACTTCGATGTATTTAAGAGTATCAATGTCCCCAATTTCACGAGGGATCTCCTCCAACTGAAGGCAATGACTGATTTCAAGGCTTTCAAGGCGCGGAAAGTTGGTATTGTCAGCGCGCCAATACTTGAGATCTAACCCCTTTAGCAGCAACAATTTGAGCCTACGGAATTCTCCTTCTCTTGGTTCCCATTCTCCTCCCATAGCCGAATCCCTTTTTAGCTTGAGCACTTGCAAATTAGGCAATGATCCCACTGCTCCTAGATCCTTCCATGAAATTCTACAACCTTGTAATGACAACTTTGTAATATTTGGTGGAAAGGCAATGGGGATTTCAACAGGTGGAAGAGAGTGCTTGTCCAAAAATTTGGCTCCAAACTCCTCAAGCTCGGTTAAACGGACAAGATTGTCGATTCCAGGAAACTCCCACCGACAAAGGGACCTGTCTCTCCAGCACACAATATTCAATTTTCGAAGGTTTGGAATCATATTAATGGCTTCTTTAGTGAATTTGAAACCTGAAACTCTTGTTAGAGTTTGCAGGCATCCTAGCTTTTCAATGACACTGTTGCAAGCCATGGGAACAGGAGGCAAGATCATCGAATCAATCATCAGATGCCGTAGTCGTTTTAACTTCCAAACTTGAGGAGGTAGACTAAGATCAGAGACACCATCATTAATAATCAAGGTCTGAAGATTCTGAAGAACTGATATGCATGAAAGAAACTCAAAATCCGAGCTATATCCAGTCCAAGCCAGGTACTTCAAATGAAACATGTGTGAAGTTGCACTACGAATTGGAGGTTGAGATGTTTCTCTATGTGCACACAACACACTCAACATTTTAAGGCTATCACACTCAGCCATGTCCGGTGTTGACTCCAAATCTTTGAAAATATGAATAGAGCGAACGGAATTACCAATGTCATTCAGCCAGGAGGATCCAGACGAAAGGAGACTGATACGACGTACATTTTCAACCCCTTTTGGATGAAAATACCCTTCCTCATGCTGGACATGAAAGAAGCCTTCATCGGAAATTCTTTCTCTGCAGAAGTTCCACACAGAATCATGCAAAACACAGTACTTGAATCGCCCATTAAACCTTTTCTTAGTGGCGATGACAAGATTTCTTTTCACAAGATCCTCTAACCATTCCTCTCCTACTTTCTCTAAGCTTTTGGACTCATCTTCTGATTTCAAAAACCCCTCTGCAATCCACATCATAATGAGATTCGAGGCCCTTATCTCATACTTCTTAGGGAAAATTCCCATGTACAAAAAGCACGGTTTTAGCTGAGGCGGAAGATGATTGTAGCTAAGAGATACACTGGAGAAGTGTGTATTGATTTTGCTCAAAATATTTCTCACTTCTCTTGCAATCTTGTACCATTCATCAACAGTTGGATCGACGCTAGAAAGGATTTCTGCAGCCTTGATTATGGCAAGAGGAAGTCCCTGGCATTTACTTGCAATAAGCCTCCCCATAAGCTCCAATTCACCAGGTACAGACACATTTTCTTGAAGTAGATCCCAACTTTCATATGTGCTCAGGAATTTCATCTCATGAATAAAGTTTGAAGCACTAGCACGCTGCGCAACATCCATGAATCGAGTAGTTAGCATGACCCGGGTTCCAGTATTGTCATCTGGGAATATTAACTTCAAATCATCCCAGGTTTCTGCATTCCATATAGTGTCTATTACAAAGAGGCTCCTCCTTCCCATCAAGTGTTGATATATGCATTTCTTTAACTCTCCCTCTTCCATTCGAAGAAAGTCATTATTCGCCAAACCTATCGACTTTAAGATGCTTTGAAGAACTCTTTTTACGTTATAATGATCAGATATAGTCACCCAAACGCGACAATCAAATCGAGCTTGAATAAGATCATCATAAAAAATGGTTCTTGCCAAAGTGGTCTTACCTATTCCACCAGTGCCGACAAGTGAAATAACCCCGAGCTTTGAGGATTGTCCACACAGCTCATCTTCTATAATGAATCTGTACTCATCATATCCAACCATAACTTTGTTTCTCCCATTCGATGCTTGTTCTGATTCGTCTTCTTCCTCAGAAAAATAGTCGTGAGACAAATCTTCCTCTCTACGCCTTTCCTTAACTTCAACCACTGCTTCCACAATGGATCCAATCTCTTCCTCTGCCTTTTTTAACTGTTCAACATTTTCTTCGAATCTCTTTAGTGGATACAAGGCACTTTGGATTACAGAAACCAAGAGGCGAAAGATCTTTACATATACTCGAGCTTGGTCCCAAGCAATCTGATGCCAGATTGCTAATTCAATAACATCCTGCACTCGATACGCTACATTTCTGATTCTTTCTTCTATGCGGCCAGTGACTTCATCGTCTTTGAATGAGAAATCTTGCAGTAATTCTTGCAAAAAGCTCAACTTCTGGTGGAGAGATTTCAAGATCAGTTGTTTGCCCCGAAGAAAGTTTGGATATCGATTATCAAGGATTATATCATCGAGTAGTTCCATAAGTGAAGCAAGAGCAGCATAATATGCCATTTAATCTGCAAGATTATTCTTCAGTTCCACAATGTTTCAGATTTGCTTGCAGTGCTGAAAATCATGGAAAGAAGAATGTCTGATCTATAATAGATGAAAACTACGACGAAGACGACTACTATAGATTTATCATCTAACGTCATAGAGCAACACATGGCTCTCCCAACTTCACAACAAGACTTGACTTAGCAATTTGATAGATACATAATTAATATGAAACTCAATCAATGACATATTTACATTTGTCATTTTTATTATAACTTAGCAACTTGCAATTTAGCACATAAAGTAATCTGCAAGAAGAAGAACAGTTCATACAGTTTTAAAAATAAGGAATACATATATTAGTTATGATTCTTTGCATTTGAAAGAGAAGAAGAAGATCCAAAAGCTGAATTGGTAAATTGTACATGGTTGAAATTTAATTAAAATATATTATCAATATGAATTTATCAGAGGGTAAATATAAATTTAATAATATAATATAGATGAAAATGTGTAAAATAATAGGGTGTGTTTGGTTACGTGTTGGTACTATACTTTATTTTTTTTTCCCCAAAAAACTACTCAAAATCTTCTTTTTCTATTTCTCTTTAATAGACGTAGGTTCTCATCCTTTGTTAAATCAATTTATATTAATCATACATAAATATTTATATATATTTTATTATTTTTATTATATAAATTTCATTTTCGAACAAATAATTTAAGGTATTAATATAACCTTAAAATGAAGGATAAACTGTTTTTTTAAGTCATCGTCTATTTTTAGAACTTTAAGGGTGTGTTTGTTTGAAGGATTTTGGTGGATTTCCACTATTCATCCAATTTTTTCCCCCCAAAAACATCAAATCAAACACCTATTTTTTATTTTTTATATTATACTAAAAATCAATTTTACATTCAAAACATCACATCAAACCCTATTTATATCACACCATACAACTATTCAAATTCAAAATTTTTACTATTCAAATCCCAACTCAAAATCCAAACCCCCAAACAAACACACCCTAAGTAAACTATTTGGTAAGTAAATTTTTTTTTGCTAAAATGATCATTCGGTGTCGAACTCGTCACGTTGGTCTGTCGTTGCTGATGTGGCACTGACGCAGATAACATGTCATTGCCATGTAGATGTCATGTCAGCTGCACATAATTTTTTTTTTATTTTACAAAATATCTTGGTAAAATATTTTTTTAGTCCGTATATGATTTTCTTTATCATTTTTTGGACATTTAAATAAACTGAGTTTTAAAATAATCCTACAAATGGTCTTTCGACGTAGCATCTACGTGGCGAGATGATATATCAACAGCGTCAATGCTACGTCAGCAACAGCTGGCCAGCGTTGCGAGTCCGACACCGGAGGATCATTTTAGCAAAAATATTTTACTTATAGAACTATTTTCACTGAAGTCCTAAAATAATAAATAGGGTTAAATAAAAAAAAAAAAAAAAAAAGGTACCTAAAATGAATGCTCTTAGAAAGTATGGAGTCTCCATTGTTCATGCGATTCCACCTGGTTATATGTATGGCTTTAGTCGTTCCATAAAATGAATGGTTGCAGGAGAGAATGGTGCGAGGGATGCCCCAACTCGAACTTCTCCCACCATTCCTTCTCACTCATCAGTAATTCAATTGCTTCGAGAGCTGTTGGTGGAGCCACATTGTCATCATCTTCACTTGGCTGTCTGAAAACTTGAGCAATGCTGGGCATTCAAACAATTCAATTTCACTAATCGAGCTGCAGACAATGGCTGTGTGGCAGATGCTCTTCAAATTTGGTAGATTTTCGAGACGTGAAGTCTTCAGTTTTGGGAGCTGCAGGCAGACCATAGATGCTCCTTCTAATTGCAGCTTCATTTCAAATATCTCTTCTATCATCTCACAATCAACAATACAGAGAAATTCCAGGTTCTGGAGATGCAATGCTGGTCTCACAATCAACAAGACACAGAAAAAAAATAAAATATATATATTGAAAATCATACTAAAAAATATAGACAAATAAACCCTATAATTTTTTACCAAATTTTTCTAACTTTTTTTTTTTGTCCCTAACGTCGCTATATGAAATATTTTTATTTATTTTTTATTTTTTAAAAAGAATCTCCATTGTATTTGTAAGGCTGTCCAAAATAAGAGCTACTGCCATTGCTCTTTAACATTCAAATTTTACAAAAGATGCAACGGTCACTAAATTCATCACGTGATATTCACGTGACGTCCCCAACTTCCGAGTGTTCCCTGTTCTCCGTGAAAAAATTCGTTCCCAAATCGCAAGATTTTCTGCAGCAACGATGGAGAGACCAGCAGAAGTAGTAGAAGAAGAAATCACCGAGGAACAAAGAAAACGGGCCGAAGCGAACCGGGCCGCTGCCATAGCCAAGCGGAAGGCACTCCTCTCAGTCACCGAAGAGGCTTCTAAACAGAACAACAACAACCAATGGAAACTTTTTAAATGCTCCAAGATTCTTCAAGCGCCCAATCCCCGCCATGGCCCGGGCTCCAAACAGCTCTCGGCCAAGGATTCAGCTTTTCCCCTCCCAATCATCGAGAAGTTCCGGGCCCGTCTCGAAATATGCTCGCCGGATTCGTTTTCGGTTACTCCAGTTGCTGTTAAGGGGTGTGTGTATCCTGGGGATGATGTTTGCTTCGAGAGGCTCAGAGATTGTCTTTCCAATGTGAGATTCTTGAAAATCCTTTTTAGGTTTTGTAAATTTGATTTAGGGTTTGGGGTTTCTTGATAAATGGAATTGATTAAAGCTGTGAGAACTTTTTCTTTATTTTATTTTTTTGGGATTATATTTGTGGATATAATTACATTGCAGCCCTTTAGAAAGGGCATAAATAGTATTTTTTTTTTTTTAAAAAAAATTTATATAGGAATATAATACTTTAACACAATGTTTAGAGTGGACTGATTTTATAGATATGCTGTTTTATTATGCTTTTGAATGAATTATGAAAGCTCGTGGGTGTTTGTTTTAGGATTTGGATTTTTGAATAGCAAGATCTTCAATTTGAATAGTTGCTTGAAATAATATAAATAAATATTGATGTGATATTTTAAATGTTAAATTGAATTTTAGAGTAATATAAGAAAAATGAAAAATAAGCTTTTGATTTTGATGTTTTTTTTGGAAAAATGTAATTGAATAGTGAAAAATCATGAAAAATTCACAAGTTTCATGATGCTTTTTTGCCCTTTTCTTCTAAGGGCATGTTTATGGTGTTACTTGTTAAGTGAAATTATAATTTTGATTGAAATTTTTGTCTGCCAATTTTCATTGAATTATTCATCACGAATGTGGCTTAATTGTCCGGGGGGGGGGGGGGGTTGTCTTTATTTAATTTTGGTGCCAATATATTCGTTTTTTTTTCTTTCATAAATTGTTCTGTTTATTGTTTCCTTGTATCCAATCTTAAACAGGTTATTCTATCACACTACACTCAGAATAGGGGTGGGTCGAAGGCCTGTGTTTACAAGCTTTACGATTACCATTCAGTCTTGAGGTCCTTAAAGAGTTGTAAGGGGATTGAATGTGAAGAGATACCTTGGGCAACCTTTAATGTGGTTGAGCGGCTTTCGCCTTCATTCATTTCTGGGAAATGGATGCCTTGCAGACCTGAACATCTACCTGATGAGAAAGTAGATGAATTGATTTCCGAGCTCCCAGAAACTTTAATCAATTCTCTCCTACCTTTTCAACTTGATGGTGTTCGTTTTGGATTGAGGAGAGGTGGTTGGTGTCTCATTGCAGATGAAATGGGGTTAGGGAAGACCCTCCAGGTTGGAATGAACAATGAATTCAATCGAATCTTTTACTTTTTCCACTGTCCAATTTAGGCATGTTTCATTTTAGTTTTTTTTGTATTAGGTTAGAGAATTGCCACTGATGTCAATGATCAAATGATTGGAAGAGTGTTTGTTTAAGTAGCTTACCTCTAGGATAGTGAACACTTTCCTTAAGTAAAATTGATAGAAGATTTCTTTTGCCGTGGATTCAGCATTTCCTTACACAAGCAGGCTAGATTATGCTGATGTTGCTACTACCCATTGTTGTCAAATGTATTTATTGTTAGTTTTCAGTATGACAGAGACTTTAAGGTTGTTAAAAACATTTATCATAGAGAAGTTGAAGTTAAATTTGATCTCTGTGTTGCATCACTGCTATCCAGAAGAATGGTATCCGAACAGATAGCTGAGTTGTACCAGAACTTGTCGTATTACTTGATTAATATGTGACTTACACTTTTACTATGATTCAATACTTACAAATTCTGCTTTGTGAAATACTTCTTAAACTAATTATCTATTTTGTTTGATAGGCCATTGCACTTGCAGGCTGTTTCAGGAAGGAAGGTTCCATTCTTGTAGTTTGTCCTGCTATTTTGAGATATTCATGGGCTGAAGAATTGGAACGTTGGTTTCCTTTCTGCTTACCTTCCGATATTCATCTTGGTATATCTCTTTGACACTTACAAATTATTAATGTGCTGTTTTTTTTTCTGTGTAAATGTCTGATGCGACTGAAATCTGTTCCATTGTTTCTTTTCTTTATCTAAAAAATAAAATAACATTGAAAGCAAAGCGGGAGAAGGCTGTATTGTTTTACTATGTTTATGATTTGAATTTGTTAAATTTCTCTTCATTTGACCTTTTCTCCTTTCCTCCTTGTTGACACAATCTTGGAAATTGTTTCTGTCGTCATTGAAGCTATCTGAAAATTTGGCATTGTGGCATACTGCATACAGCTAATTTGAGTGTTTTGCCCCAACAAACGGCATATAGAAGAACACCCATTATTATTAGCCTATGATAATATTTCTTGAAGAATGCCTTCCCTGTATTGCGGCACTTTCTTCTTCTTGTTTTAGTAATTACAGGAAGTTCATACATGATCTTTTTTGTTATAAACTGTGCCGAAACCCTAAACCCTTACAAATTCTTGAAAGAGTTTTCTCTTATTGTATTTTTAGAATTGAATATTCATTTATTACAAGTTAATTTAATAATCTAACTATCGATTGAGAATGTCACATGTTAAACAATGTTAAGCATAAATGAGTATCAAGCTTTAAACATCCTGAAGGCATGCTTTTACCTTATTATTTTCTAAAGCTATCCTTTTTCTTTTCTTTCTTTTCAGTTTTTGGTCATCAAGACAATCCTGCTAGATTACCTGCTTGTCCAAAAGTTGTAGTGATATCCTACACTATGCTTCGGCGTCTGCAAAACAGCATGCTGGCCCAAGAATGGGCCACAATGATAGTTGATGAATCACATCATTTACATTGTAGCAAGAAATCATCAGAAAAAGATGAGGTATGAACTTTCTTGCAGTATAATAACAGATTTATTTTAACGAATGATACTATTTAACGAGTTAATTGAGAAGTTTCCAACTAGCTCAGCCAAATCCAAATAGAAAACACAGAAGTTAGAGGTGACATATGTATCTAATTTCTATTGTTAATCATTCTCCCACTTTCTGAGAGCATTTTTTCGGCTTTCATCCTGAACATGCAAAAGTTGGTTCTATCATTTTAAACTTGAGATTGAATTGAATTGTTGACTATCATTGACTGAAATCTTATGGATAGTGAAAAATGGAGAACTTATAAGGATAATGTAATTAAGACATACAAAACATACATGTTTAATTAAAACGACTATGCTCTATGAAGCGACATTTTTCGTTTAACTTTAGGTGAATAGTATCTCTCCTAATCTTTCTGCATTGACTTGGAATCAAGCAATATGGCTTCATTGTTTATAGATGATGTGGTCTTGCTTTTCTATGTAGTGATTGTGCTTATAAAATTGTGAATATGCTTCAAGATCTTATACTCTTACGTGATTTTGTCTTCCTTGCAGTGAATCATTTTTTAAAATTGAAATGTTTCTTCAATTATTTTATTGATTTTATTTAATTTAAAAGATTCCCATTAATTTTACAGCTGAAAGTTTTGCTAGACATGGCTAGAAAGGTCAAGCATCTTATTCTACTGTCAGGAACTCCCTCTTTGTCAAGGTTATTGAAATCATCTCACTCTTCGATCCTCAATCATCTTTCTCTTAACTTATCCTATGACAGCTGATGAATGAATATATTTCAGTGAATGCTAATGCTGGGCTGCATATTTTCCTAGGTGACAATAGGCCTTACGACATTTTTCATCAGATAAATATGTTATGGTAAGTGTTCCAGTCTTTCCCAGCATTGAGCTAGCTATGCAGGTTGGCAGAAATAACTTATGTATTAACTTCAATCAAGAAGAGACATATACATACGTTAGAATCATAACTCATTTAGGAATTAGGAAACCTGAAAATCCCTAAAAACTCTAAATCTGATCTGAAAATATTAATGCAATTACATAGTACAAGCTACAATCTGTGTCTCTAGTTTAATTGTTTTCTGTTGCAAATGATTCAGGCCAGGACTTCTTGGCCCGACCAAGTATGAGTTTGCAAAAACTTACTGTGCTGTTAACTTCGTCCCGGGCTGTCAAGGAAAAATTTATCAGGTAGCTTCAGATTGGACCATTTGTTGTTTGTCTAGGCTTACAAATTTGAACTCCATCTTTCTTGTATATTATTTACTTCTTTTCAATTGCCTTATTTTCTACTGATCTGGAGTAAGAACTGTGCTATCACTATCATTTTGTAGGATTTTTCAAAGGGAATACGTCTGGAGGAATTAAATATATTATTAAAAGAAAGTGTTATGGTAAGATGTTTGTTTCTGTTTTAGTTAGGGTCTTATGGTTCTTTTCTGCTCTTTCGAATGTTTGAAACTGCATTTTATTAAGTTACATAATATGTGCAGTGTCTTCTAGTAGTGATGATTGAAAATTGGCACATGACTTGAAAACAAACTATTCTGTTTTGTTGTTTTGGTTTAGACGAACTATTTATAGAGACTGTTACGTAGCAGTCCAGAAATTACAACCAGGCAGTAAGATCAACATTGCCCCTCACACCCAGACAAAATGCTGGGCTGTTTTCAACACCATTATGTCTGATTTTCTAGTGTTTGTTTAGATTTAATATCCTGGGTATTATATATCTGATTTTTATTTTTTTTTGTGTTTATTTAAAACGAATTTCACTCTTCTGATATTGAATCATTTGGGTTACTGCAGATAAGACGCCTGAAGGAGCATGTTTTGTTGCAGCTACCACCCAAACGCCGACAAATCATAAAATTAGTTTTGAAGAAATCAGATATTAATTTAGCTATGGAAACTCTGGGGCTTGGAAATGTTGGCTCTTCATGTTCGGATACTGAAAATGCATATGCTGACATTTCTAATGAGAATCAAGGTATCCTACATCTCATAAATAACTTCGATTGTGTTCTTTTGTGATTTTCACAGGTTTTTACTATTCAAATTCTTTCTTCCCTCCAAATATATCAAATTAAACAATTACTTTCCTTTTTTTATATTATACTACAAATTTATTTTACATTCAAAATATCACATCAACCTCTATTTATGTCACATCAAACAACTATTCAAATTCAACTTTTTACTATTCAAAAATCCAAACCAAAACCTAAAGCCAACAAACAAACACACCCTTCATGGTTAATAAACTTGATCAAGGTATCCTACAGTTGTGTGTGGAGCATCTGATAACTACTAAGTGGTCATAAATATATGGGTTGTGATGTTCGTGAAATATTGTATTTTAGGCAGTGTAGACAAGGAGGACATGAACAAAAAATTGGGAAGAAAGCTTTCAGCACTTGGTATTGCCAAACTACCTGGATTCTTTCAGTGGCTCTCTATTCATCCTATAATGGTAGAGACAGATGGTGAAGAATCAACACAGAAGAGTTCCAATTCTCATAAAATGATAATATTTGCTTATCATCACAAAGTGCTTGATGGGGTGCAGGTTAGTAGTTCCTCCTTTTTATTAAATTTTACAATTTCAAACTGTTATTACTCTATGCAACAGCGCTGATGCATTATCATGTGAGAGAACATGTGCTTATGCATATATCAATGATTCTATATCTAGGCACTCACTGAATCTTACCACTAAATGCTAAGGATGCTTGCTAGTTTCTGAAGCTATCTTCACAGTTCAACAATTCAACTCTCGTTTCTATGGTTGCACAGGCATTTCTATGCGAAGGAGGTTTACAGTTTGTTCGGATTGATTGCACCGTAACTGGTCACGAAAGGCAGTCAGCTATACATTCATTCCAATCATCAAAAGAGGTTTGGTTAAACATCTCTGCATCTTTTGATCACAGTTTATATAGCTGGTTCTTTGCATTTATGTTCAAGTTCAAGCATAGATCTTGACTTGTAAGATTATTGGTTCAAAAATCCAGTTAAATAGATTACAATAAATATTAGGGTTGGGGGAATTAATGTATAAAATAAATATAAGATATACATCTCTTTGGATTTTTACCTTGTGGGTGAAGTGAGATGGCTATATTCAACATGATTCAAACTGCCAGCTCTTACATTGGCGTGTGATCCTTTTATTGCGGATAATCATTTTTCTTGGAGTGGGTTTGGGTATTAAATGCATTTATTTTAATACTATTATCACAGTAAGCTCACTTTGATTCTTATCAGGTTAAAATTGCTCTAATTGGCATACGTGCGGGAAGTTCTGGACTTAACCTAACTTCTGCTGATAATGTTGTGTTCTTGGAGATGCCTGCTAATCCTGGTGATATTCAACAGGTGAATTTGGTTTTGTTTCTTACGTAGCTGGATTTAACATCGCATGCATTTGTATATAGTATAATGATTGTAAAATTTTAAACATATAGGCTGAAGACAGGGCTCATAGGCACGGACAGAGAAGACCAGTGAATGTATACATTTTCTGTGCAAAGGTTCTTGTTTTGACTACATGAGTTCACTATCTTTTCATTTTCTTGCTCCTAAAGATTCTTTTGCATTTTGTTAACGCTATTTTCTTTTCCTTGTAAACTTCAGGATACTGCAGATGAGTTACAATGGCAGAAGCTGAATAAGAGTTTGCTTAGAGTATCTTCTACGATGAATGGAAAATATAATGCTTTGCAAGAAATTGAGGTATCCTTCTTGAAAAGATTTGTTTCATGTAGTTCAAGGCATGCTTCTTTTTAGCACCCATAAAGCTTTCATAAGTCAATTATTATTATTGGTTTATACTGTTGGTATATACTTAATAATCGTGGTACTGGTTTGAGCCCATAAATTTATCTGTATATACTTTTGTATTTTACCCTAATTAGAGAACTGAATGAAAGGAATTAGCATTTGTCCTCGTCAACATGATATTAGAGCATTGAGATATTATTTTTCAGCCAACATCACCTTCTTTGAATCCTTTCACTTTTGATGTCTTACATATTCCGCATTCTTAGTCATTATCATCCTCTCTCGGATATTAGTTCTAAACATTTTTAGGATTTGGGGGACCCTATTTGGTTGCTATTGAAAATTTGTTGGAAAGTTCAATTGTTTTACTTTCACTTGATTTGATATTTACCTATGTTGTCAACGTGAGCCAGTTCCTTTAGTCTCCACATACTGCTCATTGGGATGTTTGCAGTTTATCTAATGAGAAAGGATTATGTGATGAAGGATTATTGTATACGAACCATACTGAATTTGTGTGGTATTCCAATGTTGATTACTGATTGGTAGGATCACCTTTTGAGATATAGTCTACGTTAGGACTCAGGATGTTGCATTTCTTGTTGATGGTAATCTTGTACCATGGAAGAGTAAGGGGCATAACATTGCTGCCAAAATTATTGCTGAAGTCAAGTAGGGTGTGTTTGTTTGGGGGTTTGAATTTTGAGTTGGGATTTGAATAGTAAAAATTTTGAATTTGAATAGTTGTATGATGTGAAATAAATAAGTGTTGATGTGATGTTTTGAATGCAAAATTGATTTTTAGTATAATATAAAAAATAAAAAATAAGTGTTTGATTTGATATTTTTGGGGAAAAATTTTTGGATGAATAGTAGGATTTTGTTAAAATCCTACAAACGAACACACCCGTAGTGAGCTTATGGCCTTGGTGACGTGAGAACTCTATGGATCAAGCAATTACTGTTAGGTCTAAAGTTCATCGGTATATTTGCAATGAAAATTACAATGCATATTGCCTCTAGCCCGGTATTTCATGAAAAAACAAAACATATCAAGATTGACTGCTATTTCGTCGGAGAAAATTTGTTATTTGGTTGTATTACCACTAGTTACATATCTTCCAATGGGCTGAAACTCCTGATGCCCGTTTCACCTTCAAGCATGGAATCCATGCTTCTGTAGTTTACATTTGCTCTTTAATATTATATTGGGATTCACAAATTTAGACATTGGTGTGTCCTGTATTAACAGCTGGTTCCTTGTTTATATGTTGTGCCACGATACGTCCAGGTGGAGCGTGTTTCTTATCTTGAAAGCACAGAGAAAACAAGTTATGAAAGCCAGCAATTGAAAGAATCCAGGAATTCTTGCCTAGATGATGATCATGGTCTTCAGCTTCCAAGGGTGCCTTGTGATGATGCTGCACCGTTAGATATTCATGATGGCTATTATGAGCAGCAAGAAAGTTCGAAGGACTTAAATGGAGATAATTGTGTCCAAAAAGTTGAGTTTGAAGTGAAGAAGAACTCTGTTCAATCAGCTACTCTCCGGTTTGAGGTATGCTGAATGTCACTAAACCGCCTATCATTGTTTCGATGCATATTTTTGTTGGGTGTGTGCTAGGTGATTCTTCAGAAAGAGAAAAATGAGTAACTACCGATATATTCCTTAAGGGCTTTTCCTTTTCTACTCAGGTGAGCAAGCTCACTGGAAGGATTCACTTGTACACTTGCAATGCAGGAACAGCCTCAAGGCCAAGTCCACTTTATAAAAACTTTCGACCGGAGGAAGTTGAGTGCCTTAATGAGGAAAATCAGAAGACAAATCCCAAATCAGTTGAAGATGTTCAGCCATATATGGAATCACTTGTAGCTTTTATTAATGAATGGAAGGAGCTAAGGCCTATTGAGAAGAGGAAATTGATCAACAAACCTCTACAACTTCCACTGTCTTGCGAATTATGCTATTTGGATGAAGGTGTTAACCATGATAAGGGGGTATGGATGTGTTAAACAATTCTAATACCTTAGTTGTAACTAAATCATGACCTATGACTTCGGATCGGTAGTTCTTCATGATGGTTCCTTTTTTCTTTTGTAGGGACTGTTAAAGGGTGGGAGTAGAAAACGTAAGACGTCCATTACTGAGATAAGCTGCCCATTACCATCAAATGCTACATGGAGACAGGTCAATCTCTGTGGCAATCATCGCCCTAAGGATAGACTTTACTCTCAAGGTTGGTCTGACATGGATGAACCCCTCTGCAAGTTTTGCCAGACACCTTGCACGTAAGCAATTGGCATCTCTCTTTTTTCCTTTTTTATTTTTTGAAACCGATTATGTATTAAATGAGTTTTAACTAATATGCTTCCTGCAGAGGAAACAACGCGAAATTGCCTCAGTTCTTTGAGGATTTATTCTGTACTTTGGATTGCCATGAAGAATACCGTCTGCGAACTAGCAATAGTTTTACTCGTAAGGTGAGGATTGGACTTGGATCACTGAGATTACCACTTATTATGGTGCCCCTGCTATATAAACATCGGTAAATTTAAATCGTCAATCTTAACTTTATGAGGTTTGCAGGTGCTTTTCCAGACGGAACATGGCATTTGCACAAATTGCAAATTGAATTGTCATCGACTTGTGAAGCACTTGCAAGTTCTACCACTCGATAAGCGCCATGCCTATGTTGTCAAAGTGGCTCCTAAAATAGCGAAACGCAGTAAACTGTATGTTTTCATCTTGTGCATTTGAATTGTTCACATGAAACATTCGCCCGGTGTTGATAGATTAGGTGTGTATCTATCTTCTCTTTTGTACTGCCATTGAATGAACGGTTTACTGTTTGTTTGGCAATGGGCAGGCGTAATAAGCTCATTCATGACCCTAAAGAAGGTAATGCTTGGCATGCCGACCACATCGTACCCGTGTATAAAGGTGGAGGTATGTATTCATTATGCAATCTATCTCTCCGACACTTAAGGTTTGTTTGATTTTGATTTGAAATTGAAGTTCTAATTTGAGTTTTGGCTTAAATAAGATATTTTAATTTGATGTTTTATTAGAAAAAATAATATATTTTTATTGAAAATTGTACATTATAGTGATGATTTTGATTTTATATAGAAAGTGAACACACCCGTGTGTTTTGGGTTTTTATAATTTTTTATTTTAAATGGAAAATAAGTATTGAATATGATGTTTTTTAAGAGAAATGATGTAAATGCAGCCAATTTGTGCGCTATAAACATTCGAAATTGCAATAAATCTCATTGTGACCGTGATTGTGATTTGATAAATCTTCTTCTCTAGGTGAATGCCTGCTAGACAACATGAGGACTCTTTGTGTGGCTTGTCATGCTGACGTTACCTCCGCACAATGCTCTGAGCGGCGCAGAGCTCGGAAAAAGGCGAAGCAACAGCTCAAGGAGACAATGAATACCTTGGTCGCCAATGCCGGAAAAACTGGAAAGACTGGCGATGCACAACATGTACTTTTTTTACCTATAAACATCTGCTGGATCATTACATACATATAGCACACACTTAAGCTGTTTGCATTATGCCGTCAGGGTTGTGGTAGCGACGAACTGGATTGCGACCTACTGATTGAGATTCCGGGGAGTGCATATTCTGGAACAAATATCAGCCAAACCAAGGATCAAAATCAAGAGCAGGAACTGCTTGCCAAGACTTCTAAAGAATCTGTCTGCGAGACATCAAATGGCAGTTGTAAGGAATGAAGCTTTTTTGCATTTTTGTCGTGCTGTACAATCAACATATGATGCTGATCTGATAGCAGCGAAAATTTTGAAGTCGAGAGAGGGGTTGAAGAGCAGAGGAAAAAAAAATCAGCACTTCTGCTTGGACTCGTTTGTTGTGATCGATTCGATTCGATGCTGCAGATTCTGCATTTGTTCATTAGTTGAAGAAGAATAGAGAAAGCTCTCTTGGCTTTCTGTAGAGTATATAGCCCTTGAAAAGTTGGGGAAATCTCATTCTTCTGGTGTATGTAGTTGTAGTTGTAGTGCAACTTCTGCCTTGAAGAAAAATGGTATGTCTTTTTGTCCCGTAACAGAAGGACTAGAGGTCTAGTGGTGTGAGTGTACTCGAGACTATGAAGTCATGGTTCAGAGGCCTAGTGGTGTGAGTGTACTCGAGAGTATGAAGTTATGGTTGCCCTTAAGGTCAACGGCGGATTGTCATGTTATAAAAAAAAAATAAAAAATAATAGTATATTATTTACAGGTTTTGTTTGTTTTATTTTTCATTAACTAACAAGTTAGATATCAAAGGTAGATTTGAGTCGCAACTAGTTGTGAATTGGGCCATGGTATTGGGCCTTAATTTTGTATTGGGTCGTTGTAAAGAGGTCTGATTGGTTTCGGTCTTGATTGTGGAAAAAGCCACTTTACAAATGGATTGAACCTTTTTAGATGGGCCTGATTGGGCTAAAATCTGACCACAATTGGGCCTTTGTAAATGGGCCTATTTGGTTTGGGCCTTTACAAATGGGCCACACATGATGGGCCTCTACTGTGGGCTGAACATTGACTGTGGGCTGGGCCCTCACAAATGGACCTATTTTGGAATTAAGACCTAAAACCTAAATTGCAATAGTAAAAAATGTAACATGTGGAACTTATTTAACTAAATTGTACGGACAGGACAGCCAAAAATCTCACAGAAACCATATTTTGCTAATGAAAACTTGGGATCGATCAATCGATCATTTCCCTTTCATCATCATTTTATAAAAATACCAATCTTTGCAAGAACATAAAAATTGCACTATATCCATCGTACCAATTCCTCATTGCCACTGTCGATCTCCGCCGTAAAAAACTGTTCAGCTCTGTCAATAAAGCTCACCGGAAATCTACAATGCAGCATCAGAGTCATCGTTTCCGACGCCGATTGAGCAGTTCCGAAAAGCACGTCCTCTCCGCCGCTAAGTTTCGCGCCTTTCCCGTCCCGTTGGTTTCTAATTTTGACGCTTCTACCATTGGCGCCTTGGCCACCGCCTCTCTGGGCGATGGGCCGGGTGGTTTTCAAGAGGTTCCGATTAGATTTTTGCGATGCATCCGCCAGAACCTTTTTGTCCGGAGCCATCTGCTTCGACTCACCGGAATCGTCGGTGGCGTGGATCGTTTTGCACGACTTGAGACATTGTAGGAACATGTCGATGCTGAGTTCTTGTTGGATTACAGCTTTGTTCTGTTCGCATCCGTAGGAGGCGGCAACGAGTGTGCTCGCCAGTACCGGCATCAGTTCGGGATCACTGAAGAAGACGAATGGCAAATCGCAGACCTGCTTATCCCGGGAATGATTAGAGACATGTTCTTGGATAATAAGAGAGTATTTGCTAAAATTGGCGTCGACTGACCTTGTGTAGGATTGTGGGGCTCTTTCCCCATCGAAGGACGGCTTGGTTCTCGGAGTGGAATAATGAAAAATAACCGAGGAGCGCGAGAGATTCCAGCAAGAGCAGACCGATCTGTTTAGTTGGCGACGAATCAGTAAGATCAAACGCGACAAAATCCACAAAAAATACTATTGAAAGGTATCTAACACAAGAAATCCACTAAAAAACATCATTCTCAACATCTAAAGAGATTATTGGATCAGAATGGCTAAAAAAGGACACCTTTCTTTCCCTTAAATGGCATCAGGAGCAAGATTTGTGGCTAATCGAAGATAGTTTTCGGTAGAGAACTGTGCAAACAGAAGTGTATTTAAATTATAGCCACTAAAAAAGTTGTGTTCTTTTGTGGGTTTTACCTCAAATTTTTACTATTCATTTTTTTTTTTTCGTTCAAAAATATCAAATCAAACAATTACCATTTTTTTATATTATACTACAAATTTATTTTATATTCAAAATATCACATCATCATCTATTATATCACATCAAGTAACTATTCAAATTCACTTTTTACTATTAAAAAATCGACACCCAAAAACCCAAACCCACAAACAAACACACCCTTAGACAATTTTAATACGACCTTATCTGTGGGTACGCCCCAGTTGCTTGTGCAGTGAGAAAGGATAAAGCTCATCAAGTGAAACAGCTCCATTTTGAGGTCAGGCCGCGCCTGAAATTGACAGAAAGAAGCAAGAGGAATAAGTGTTATAGCCCCGGCAAGTAAGGCCGACACTATGTTCTTTGTAGGGGAGGTGGACAGACTCACCAGCATTTTCTGGATGAAAGTTATGTCTATCAATGCCAGATTGTTCAACACTTTAAGAACTCCAGTCGCTACCTCCTCGAAATTTGATGGAAGTATATACGAGTTCTGAAATATACAATTCAAGAAATTAGTGCTTGATGATATCACAGATCTCTGAAGCATTGTGCAAATATTCATACCCAAAAATGCAATAAAAGAATCATATAAATTTGGAATTAGTATGACCGGATGCAAGAGCTAAAAACAGCAGACTAATATTCAATCCTGCTGTGTATTGTTGAATATACGAAAACGTTTATATATCCAGCTATCCATAAGAGCATAAAAACAAATTCCCATGAATGCACTAATGTCAGTGTTTAAGTTTTAAATATATACTGATATTGTAAATGATGCGGAGAGTCGATCTACAGAAATAAACACATCCATCAGGCACAGGCACAATGGTCCACAAATAGCTAATAGATCTACAAAGATATTAGCAACTAATCAATCTGACAGAATCTCGTCTAATACCTAAATAATATGAATACTTACGATGTACTATATGCAAAAAGTGTTTCTCAATTAGAACAAATAATCAAAACTTTATACAGGAGACAGTGTAAGTTAAATATTCTAAAGTATCATAGTGCAAACATTATAGGCCGAATAACTAAATCCATATGCTTAAACATGTGCTGCTATTGTTGTCACAAATCACGTCAAAATCTGACTGTCACACAAAAGATGAAGTTTCTAGAATCTCTGAATTGAAACTTTACAGAATAAGAAAATCAACGACCTTCGACAAACTACAACTGAAAGACACATCTGTAAGGAACAAAACATAAATGTCAAACAAGGATAGAGAACACAATTTAAAATAAATCCATTTTTATTGTTTTGACAATGAGAACTTTTCACTAATTATGCTGGGAATTATAGTAGAACAGATAACTGAGGAGGACGAAAACAGAATAGATTGCTAACATCAAATATATTTATGCAAAAGAAAGGCATAAACTTAACTTGTTCGGCAGACAACCGATTGTTGGCCTGCAATAGCACAGCAGTTAACATGGAAGGAAGACACACTAAGCCAGTCTCAGACATTGCTGAAAGAAGAAATGACGCAGGATGCTTTACGTGGGCACTGCTTCCATTTCTTTGCTCACCACCACTGTTTGTAGAGTCATTTTTAATCCTCTGAGTATCCGAACACTGGTATTTATCTTCAGGTTGAGCCCTGGCTGACTCACTAATTGAATCGATATGTTCTACATCATGAGAATCATCACACATAACATTCGAACTACTTATGTCTTTAGCAACTGAAGTCTCATCTAATGGCCTACCCTTTGCTATCTCAGGTAAATCTGTAGTTACGCTGCAATCTACACTAGATTCAAATGGGGTGGATTTTGAATCGGCAGACTCAGACTGTTTAGTCTCTCTAATAGTAATTCCTTGATCCACATCACTAGGAAAAGAATCCCAATCTATCGAAGATAATCCTTTGAATTTGGAAGTAAGAACTATCAATAAATTAATGCTTAGGAGAATAGATGAAGGGAAAGGTGAACCTTCGACGTGTGGTCTGTCATAAAGCGCAAAAAGATCTCGTAGCCGGTGAATAATTTGGTAAACAATAACAAGCTCTATCAAACCATCCTGCATCTGATGCTGGTATTCATTACAGCTTACTTGACCAATAATTGCCGCAACAGTCCATAGAAAGCCATCCACTATTTCAGAAATCGACTCTAAATTCCCAGCTGTTGTTTTACTTGAGACAGCATTCGGCGGCAGGGGAATGTTTGATGATGCAGCCATCTTGATATAGTTCTCAAGTGCTGCAGCCAACATGGGGATGATCGGAGGCAAGAGATTCTGTACAAGAAAATAGCATTTGTTTGCTGGTGTCGAAAGCACTACCCTCAGAAGTCTCAAAAGGTATATGGTAACTTGGCAGGCTTCAGGTTTCGATATGTGAGATGCCGGCAGGGCAGAAGCAATAAAATCAAGCAGACCAGCTTGGCGAGAAGCTAGCAACTCAGCATCTCTTCCTTCCAAGAACTACGAAAGAAAATTGGAAATTATTTCAATAAAAATGGGTCACTAATTACAATACAAACATCCACAAACAGTATTAACCAATAGATCAAAAGGCTGGAAAGAAAGTGGCGTACCTTGATCATTTCAGCAGTAATCAGCCCAAAAGAAGCAGCACCATCTTTCCTCGCCTGTCTAAGTTTTTGCAAATCCTGAAGCCACCTAGAAATTTTTGCTCGTGCAGTACCAACAGTAGTCCTATACCCCAAACTTGAATTTTCAATTCCAGCTGAAGGCTCAGGGAATTCATGTTTCAGCGACATAAGTCTTTGCCGTATTTTTTTGATCCTTCGTTTTAGCGAGTGTTGTGATGCCTCACTTGTTAATGTCTCACAGCCTGCTTTAAATCCACTCTCACTAGAAAGGCTATCATCTCCATTACCAAGGCTCGAGGATTTACTTTGTGCTTGCCCATCTTTACCAACAAAGCGGCGTAATAATGGTGAAGATTGATCTCTAAAATCCATCGATGCCCTTTCGCGAATCTGCTCCAGATAAAATTTCCGCCTCTGTTCACTTTCGCTGAGTCTTTCAGCTAATTTCTGTGCCATGAGTTCAGCTTCCTCCTGCTGAGCTTTGGCTCGAATCTCCTTCCTTCTCATCTGTTCCATAGCCTTGGCTTCACGTGCTGCACTTGATGCTTTCCTCTCTTCTTCTCTTCTCACTTGAGCTTCCTCTTTTCGTCGTTGAGTCTCCGCAAGGCGCTGCAACTTCTCAGCTTCAATGAGCCTTTTCCGTTCTAAAACAGCTTCTTCCCTAGCCATGTCCTCTTTCTGTTTGATTTTAATTACTTGAAGCTTCTCTGCTCTCCTCAGTTCGGAATCCTGAAGTTTTTTGCGCAATATATGCTTTTTGTTCTCTTCATTCAACGACGTGATAAACCGTACCTCATTCACTTTACTGCTCTCATCACCAGCTCTTCTCACAACTTGAGCTAAATAAGCCTCATGCCTTGATTCGCTACGCTGATGGCGAGCAAACATTGACTCTCGCAATTTATTACTGCGAACAGTTTGCCATTCATTTACACGGTTCAGTTTTTCCGATGTCCGTTGCAGCTTTTGAACCCTTTCATTCTCAAGTTGAGCCCTGATTCTTGTTGCTCGGGCATGCTTTTCTTCTGCTTCTTTCTTAAGATCGATTGCTGACTTTTTCTTCTTCTCCGTAGACATTAATTTGTCGTGTAGAACGCGTACTCGCTCAGCACTTTTCCTATTCATGCCTGGCGAATAAGAGAAACGGGATGCACGATGTGGAGATGCAAGTATGTCCTCCCAATTTCTCTTCTCTTTCCAAGCATCCAACGACTTACTTGAGTTCCCATATCTCCTTTCTCTTTCTCTTTCAGGAAACCGAATGAGTCTTCTCAACGTTTCAGCTGATTTGGGATGTTTATCAACAGTTGGTTCTGCTAAGATTTTGTTTTTCTTATGAAGTAGCTTCTCTGCCTCTGAAGTAGGTCCATTTAGTTCCCGAGTACTTTTTGCATTTACAAAGGACACAGAACCATCTTTCTGAGACGAGTTGGACGCCACAAAACCTGATTTACTTGGGTCAAGGTTTTTCTTTCCTTTAGTTGAGCCCTGAGATATACATGGAGATTCAATTTCCGGCCCTTTATTTGAAGTCAATACATCAAAATCACCCACTAAATCATCTTGTAAATCATATTTTTCTAGGTCTAAGATATCCTGGGCTCCAAAATGATAATCAGGACCAAGATTCCTTGCATTTTTATGTCGTTCAGTAGTTCTCTCTTGTTGTATCTTCCTAAAAGCCTCAAGAGACGAAGACAAAATCTCTGCCCTGTGTGGGGATGTTGTCATTCGACGGACCTGCTCTCAGATAAAACAGTAACATTGTAAGGGGGGACAATCATGAATTGTACATAGAATTTATGCCAATGTGTCTCGACTCTCAGCTAACCTGCGAAATTGGAAATTTGAGCAAAGACCCTAGAAAAATTAATGCACAAACAACTCCCAAACTGAGTTTATAAGCTTCAAACCATTTAATAGGACCAAAGCCACAGGTTACTTGATAGAAAATTCAATCTTCAAGATTTGATAAATTGTGAAGACAACGTTTACTTTCATAAAAACAGCATTTCAAGGTGTGCGTTTCAAAAAGTGGCAAAAGAAAACTATGTCAAAAAGAGAGTAGACTATCATCTTACATTACGGACTTAAAGCTATGGAAATGAAATACTTTCTTACTCATTAGCTAATCAATAAATCATCAGTGATATTCCCTACTAGTAAAGCACAAAATTGATCTTGTAAAGGAACAAAAACACATAAATATATAAAATTGAAAAATGTAAGTGGCAATGCATGTAATTTCAAAAAGGTAATGAAAGCTAACCTCCCAGGAGAGAGCATGTGGTCTTCGATGATCAGACTGGATTTTGAAAGGAGTTCCATCTGATCCATGAGACGAAGCCCTTTTTAATTTTTCAAACTTCTCAACTCTTAAAATTAGTTCTCTAAAGTCCGATGCAGCTTCTTCAAGAACAAGGCTAGCCTCTTTCATTTGCTCGATGTCACATTCTAGTTCACACAGAAGGTAGAGTTCATCTACTGCTCTATTAAGATTTTCAAAGAGAAAGCACCAAAGGCGTTCTCTGAATCTTTCTTTGCTTTCACTCGTAGCATTCAAATTCTGAACATCCAGCAAAGCACTAGAATCTTTAGATTTTGGATCACTAGATTCTTCTACTGCAGTTGCAATTTTCGATTCCCCACCAGGTTCACAATTGGCAAGTAACTGCGTGTCAGAAAGAGGAATAGTCGCCCCCGTGGTTGAGGCAGAATCCATAGGAGGTATCACTGAAACATTAGGACATGATCCATTAGCTGACTCAACATCGTCAGGGCATGCAATGTTTCCAGATGGATCGTCACCACCCTCATTCTTGTCCTCAACATGTAAGCCTAAATTCGTATCACTCTTGCTAGATATTTTTTCACTTGTAATATGCTCTTTAACATCTTCCGAAGAAGCACCATTCACTTCCCCGGCAGTTTCTTTGACAGGAATAGTCGTTGGAGACAAAGAATGAACTTGATCTCCTGTAAATCTACCCTCAAAATCGAATTCACCACCAGAAGATTTCCCGTAATGTATGAGTGTGCCTTCATCCAAATCACCCCACTTGATTTTCGGAAGAATGCTACTTTTCTTAGGATTTTGTTGATTACCATCTGATTTATCCCTACAATCTCTAATAACTTTAGTTTCCAAATTACACGAATCTACGCCCCCAATATTTTGACTGACAACGCATTTATCAAGGCAATGCTCAACTGCTTCACCCTCAACAGAGTTCGAAGAAAGTTTTCTTCCATCACCAACATCCTGATCCACAAAATCCTTGCTTGCATTCGAAAGTTGGGTTTCATTCACACTTTTCCCCAATCTTTCACAATCTGTCTTACTAGAACTCTGATTTTCAGGACGAACCCCAACCAACTTTGAATTGCTTCGGTGCTTCTGAGGAGAAATATTTACCAAATGAATCAGAAGAACAAAGTTACCTAAACCCGAATTAAATTCCCAAACAATATCATAGAGATTATACAAGAAAATAACCTCACTAAATTCCAAGAAATCAATATCAATATTCAATACTATATTGAAAAATCCTTCTCAACCAAGAATCCCAAAAGATCAAAATCATTTTTAACAAATAAGAAACACAACTGCACCATCATGCCAGAATTGGTCTTTCAATACAAAACCCCATACACGGTAAGATCAAATATTACCAAATTCATGAAATATAACTAAAGAAACTTATGAATTTCGAACAAAATACGACAAAACATCCACAGTCCCATCCAATTCAGCCCACTCCAATATGAACCATTTAAACAAGCTAGAGAACAAACATTGAATCCCTAATGGAAACAAGCCTAAACTACAAGCATCAACCTTCAAAAAAATAAAAGAAGCGAATTAAAATTAGTCCAAGGTAACAAAATCATAATCAAACGATACTTGTTTAAACTAAAAAATTAAACAACCTTTTTGACCTGCATCCACCCAGAAGCTTGATCGTCACTGATCTCCATCGAAGGGTTGAACAGTTCTGACAACTCCTTTTCCACAAAACTCACAAACTCATCACGACAAACGATTCCCCTTTCGGTATCATCACCATCCACATCAAAACACTGGAATCAGACAAAAAGCGGTAGCCAAGTTTTTTTCCAAATAAATTCAAATTGCCCTCGATATTTGAAAATTAAACAGATGAACAGAGAAGATTATATTCCCCTAATTCATTATTAAATTGAGGGTCCCAGAAAATACAAATAAAAGCCCATAAATGGAAACAAACAACCGCTGAAAGCTCGACCTAACTCTCCCCCGCCGAGAATTCAGTACAGACTGAAAATTTGTCTGATAAATAATGGGTTTTTCAGTTCTCAACAATGTGGGTTCTCCATTCCCCCCATAACCAGAAATGATTAATAAAAAACAAATGGAGGCCCGAAGAGAATGATGGAAGAATAGTGACAGCAGAAAATAAATGTATAAAAATTGATACTTTTATGTATAGACTGGGAGAAGAAGGTGGGATATAATTACACTTATGCCCCCATTAGGTTAGACTTTATTTGGGAAAAGTTCAGGGGTAAATTCGCCCTTACACATAGTTCGCTGCTTTTTATTTTCCTCGGTGTCGGTAAAATTCATAAAGGTGTTTATTCAATTTTCAAATTTACAGTTTTTTTTTTTTTTAATTTTTTTTGAATTTTTTTTATTTTAGTCTAGTAAAATATACTTCCTCCATCCTAAATAAGCTACAATATTTGCTTTTGGCACGAGATAGGATTTTTAGGTAAATAGTATTAAGTAGAATAATTTAGAAATCGGTGAATGTGATAGAGAGAAATATATATTTTATTTTTTTATTTGGATGATGTGAGAGAATAAAATGTGAAGGTAGATATAAAGTATAATTAATTATTTCTTATTTTGAAAATATTGCAGAGTATTTGGACATACTAAAATGAAAATGTTAGCACGGTGTTTGGAACGGAGGGAGTATTATATAATAATTATTTCTAAATTCTCGTATTTACATTAACCAAAATATTTGTTTAGGTTGTGTTTTGTTTGTATCTAAAAGTTTTACTATTCATTAATTTTTTTCTAAAAATAAGTTAAATAAAATTCTTATTGTTATATTAATATTCATTTAAATTATATTGAATAATTATAAAATATATTTAGTTTAAACTAGTTAAAATTTCAAACCTAAAAAAAACCAAGAAAAAAAAACAACCAAAAGAGATATTAATATCTAAGGTTGAATAGAACTTAATTTTCTTTATTTAGGATGTGTTTATTTGTAAAATAAAATTATAATACATTTATTATTTTGATGAATTATATAATCATATAATAAAATAATTTAATATTTATTTTAAGTGATTACTATATAATATTATTAATTTTATCTACAATATTTTCACTTATGAATCTTTTGTTTCTCCATCATATATATATATATATGTATTTACATTCCCAATGTGCATATTTTATTATTTTATTAAAAATTAATATTTAATATAAAATATTATTTAAAAAATTACAAATCAAAACATTAAACAAACTAATTGGAATATATTTCTTTTTCTTCTTATTAACTTGATTTTATATTTTATGTAAAAAAAAAAATGGAAAAGCCCAACAATTTGTTAATACAAACGGCACAGATCATGTGCTGAAAGTATATTAGTTACTTCATCCGTTATTCAAATTTATATTATTTATTTTTGTTGTCATCAAATAAATATTTTCGTTTCTCTTTTAAGTAAAAAAATTTAATATATATATATTTTACTATAAAATAAAAAGGTAACAATAATTACTATTTTTATTAAAAGCTGTATCCGATCAAATGAACACATATTTGCGTAACGGAAGAAGTATAATGTTAACTATCTTAATTATATTTAAAAAGTTAAAATATAATTAAATAATAATAAAAATAAAATAAAATAAAAAATTGAACACGTGATCCATAGGATAATACAAATTGGACAATTCAAAGAGTTGGTTGAATTATTAAAGTCTAATTGCTACTTTCAGATTTGTAAATTATAAAAATTAAAATTAACATAATATATAACTGGTCATATAAATATATGTATAAAATCTAAATATTTGATATAAATCAAAATTTCAATTTCAAATTAAAATTAAATGCACTCAATTATTACTTTTTATTCTATATTTATTTATTCTAATTATAATTTTCATTATTATTATTATTATTATTATGGACAAAAAATTATGCTATTTTTAATAAATACAAACTTTGTATAAATTATATTTGATTTGAATTTAAAGTAGGTCATATTCTCTAAATGGGTTATTTGATTCTCCTTACGAGTCGATTTACTTTCCAACTTGGTTTTCTATGACTTCTTTGATCCGAAGAAATTTGGTCTTCGGTTTGATTCTGCCGGACTTTAGAGGGCTTTGGTATCCGTACAGACAATTTGATCGCCAGCTTTGGATTTGATGTCTTTTTTAAACGATCCGTGACTTTGATCTTTACTTTGGCTTTGCCGCTTTTGAACGACTTTGGTCTCACGTGGACGATTTGATCATCGGCTTTGGATTTGATGTCTTCTTTGGACGGCTTTGATCTTTGGTTTTCCTTTTCCTCATTTTGGAGAACTTCGGTTTCCTTATGAACGATTTGATCGTCGGCTTTGGATTTAATGTCTTCTTTGGATGATCTGCGGCTTTAATCTTTGGCTTGCCTTTTCCGCCTCTTAGAGAGTTTCGGTCTCCGTGTGGGCGATTCTATCGTCGGCCTTGGATTTGATGTCTTCTTTAGACGATCCGCGGCTTTGATATTTGGTTTGCCTTTTTCACCTTTTGGAGAGCTTCGGTCTCCGTGTGGGCGATTCGATCGTCAGCTTTGGATTTGATGTCTTCTTTGGACGATCCACGGCTTTGATCTTTGGCTTGCCTTTTCCGCCATTTGGAGAGTTTCGGTCTCCGTGCGGGCAATTCGATCGTCGGCCTTGGATTTGATGTCTTCTTTAGACGATCCGCGGCTTTGAGAGCTTTGATCTTTGAAGAGGTGGATTTGATGCTCCATAATACTTTTGGTGGCGTGTCCCTTTGACTTTTGGATCGAAAAGGGCCTAATTGATACTTTGTTGAAGAACGCGATGAACATCTTGAAGCTTTGAGAAGAATTTTGAAGACCTTCCCTTGGCTTTGACGAATTCCTCAACGGCTTTGAGAGCTTTGATCCTTCCTCCGGCTTGGATATACGACGAAAAACGTTAACTTCATCGATTCGTCAACCAATATTGAATCATTTGTCCAAATTAATGACTTTCGACGAAGAACGCTTCGAAGAACATAAAGAACAATATAGAGAGAGTTTAGAGACTTACCCTTTTGCTTGAATCCTCGATGTAACTTCGGTGTGTCAAATGATTTGATCATGGCTCCTATTTATAGGGGATGGATGGCTTCGGCTTCCTTTTTTAATGGTGCCACATGACGCGTTTTGATTGGCTAATAGGAAGATTTTATAATATTTCCTTTTCCATCAGATGCTCCTTTCCATTCTCGACGGATTTGATTGTGCACATTTCTTTTTCTCGAAGATCTTTATATCATTGTCCTTTTTCAGAAGATATTAATTTATACACTTTCTTTATTGACAAGATTAATTTATTTTGCTGCCAAATTTATTATGGCTCTATTTATGCACATAATATTTGTACGATATCTTCCATTTTAAGCAGATATTTGCATTAATGGTTGAAGATTTATTGTACAAAAATTAACATACGTGCATAATTAAATATCATATATTTATTTTATTAGAATTTTATTTTCTTCAAAAATATATGATATTTAATTAATTTTAAACATATATTTTTAGTGTCTACCGTTGTTATTATTATTATTATTATTATTATTATTATTATTATTATTATTATTATTATTATTATGTCTATAAATATCCACTTGTCTTTTTATTGTGTTGAATAAAATATTCTTATTCTTTAATCTACTCCATCTCCTATGCATGTAATTGTTTTGAACCAATAGAGTACTTTAATAAAATATATTAACTATAAATATTATTGATAAAATATATTTATACAAAATAACATAAATTAGTTTATGAAATACTATTAAAAAAAACTTGAAAAAAATAATTAAAAAAAAAAATACAATGTCAATATGTATTCCAACCCAATAACTTAATAGACCTATCAAATCTAAAATTGTGAACAGAATTTTTACTCAAATTTAAGCAAATTTAAGCAAATTTAAAATATTATGTATAAAATATAAATTTAACTTGAACGTGTAATTAAAACATAAATTTATGGCTAAATTACACAAAATCCGCATGTGGTTTCACGAAATTGTGCACAATCATTCATATTTCTAAAACTGCGTCAAACTCCATCGTGGTTTCATAAACTTTGCGTCTAATCCCTCGGAGGTCCTTATTTAACGCTATTTAAGAAAAATAAATATATATGTAATTTTAGGGGTTTAGAAATTGAGATTCTAAAATTTATTCGAAGTTTGGGCGCATTTAAGTCAAATATCGTTAAATAAGCACTACCAGAGGAAGTTAGACGCAAAGTTTATAAAACCACGAGAGAATTTGACGCAGTTTTAAAAGTATTTGGTATTTGACGCAATTTAGCCTAAATTATTATCTTATTGAATTTTAAATTTGATGTGTTAGAAAGTCAAATCAGTGCAACCAAATTCTGCTTCAATTTAGGTCAAATTGTAAATTAGGTTTGCCCACCCAATTTTTATTTGTTTTTACTTAGCCATTTTTGACTCAACCAATATATCCATTTCGAGGGTATTAGGTTCGGTCGAAGATTTATCAATGTTCAGATAGCGGCTGCTGATTCTTACGTCATTAAAAAAAATAAAAAAAAAATTCCATTTTGAGCAAATAAAGTATGATGACTTAAGTTGAAACAAAACCATGAGTTGATCATCAATTGAGCAAATAAATTGTCCATATTACTAGTGACCTACTAATGTGTGACACATTTATTTTGATTCCCTTCAAAACCAAGCCAAAATAATTGCTACACAACAATTTTGGTACAAACACAATTAAGTCTAAAGACACTATAAATTATTACCCCGTAAACAATGGCCGAGTTGGTATAGTACGACAACTACTGATTGCAAGATCGCGAAATGTTAAAATAAATAAAAACTCGTGTTAAAATACATACGGAAAAAGTCAAGAAAAAAAAATATCGAACAAATGTTAAGTATAATCATCAATATACATTTTATTTTTCGACCATCTATCTCCTCTATCGTTATAGTTTTGAGTCAATTTTCTCGGGTAAAGCCATTAAGTAGAAGTAATTACTACGTCTCATTTCTACTTTTAACGGCACGGTTGCTCTGATAAATTTTCTAGCAAATCAAGAAGTCCACTTTTTAATTCGACGCCGGGCGGACGCGTCGTTGTCGAACCAACTTAAAGGACAACATACTAAAACACAAGGTATATAAAAATAATGAATACGCATAGTGTATTAATTTTTTTTAAAAAAAAACATGCAAAAAAATAATAATAGAAAGCACAAAGCCAAATCATCTGTACACTTATTTGCTAATTCCACATAAAAAAAAAATAAAATAAAATTAAGTGAAGCTCAGCTGCGGCGATCCGTCGTCGAGTCGAGCGTCAGCGCGAAAGCAGCAGCTCGAGCTCGTCGCGAACCACCACGGCTTGAATTCGTTGCATTCTTCGAAATCTTCATCGGGAGCAGGCAAGTTTAAATCAAGACAGCCTCGCGAAACGGCGATCGCCTTGTCTGAATTGCCGGTTGTTTTCGACTGATCATTAGTGATTAGAATGTGTGATCTTCTGTGTCCCCCCAAGGCTTGTCCTGACGAGAAGACTTTGAAGCAAATCGAGCACTCGTGCTTGATTTTGATCGTTGCCGAGCTGCTATTGCAGCAACCTTTGAACTTTTTGTGGCTCGCTCGGTGTCCTCCCAACGCTTGGTAAGAATCGAACGATTTCTTACAAACCGAGCATCTGAATTCGCTCTTTGAATCAAAATATTTGAAATTTACCTCATTGGCTGCTTTGTTGCATCTCCTCTTTCGCGATTTTTTAAAGTTAGTTTCATCGGTGGTAGCGAGGGCCTTAGGTTGTAAGGACTCGACGCTATTGTCAGAAGATTCGATGATCCAATCCTCGTTAGCCTTCGAAAGAATGATCAAACTCAACGCGACCTCGTCCTGTTCGATTCGCTCGATCTCATCTGATTCGCTGTCGATGCCCTGTTTGGAAATGCTTGAAGAATCTTCCTCCACACTACTAGCTGTCCTTAAATTCAAAGAATGGCATTTCATGTGGCCAAACAGGGCCTTAACAGAAAGGAAGCTTTTGCCACACTCCCTGCAGTGTTTCCCTTCAAAAAAGGCATCTTCTTTACCTAAACTTAAGGCCCTGTTTGGCAGTCGCTTCTTTCGAACATCCCGGCCGGACTTAAATTGATCGGTCGATGCAACGGTAACCAAATGGGACCTCATATGGCCTCCCAAAGATCTTCCACAGGGAAAACTTTTGCTGCAAAACTTGCATATATGTTGCCTATGTTCTTGATCTTCTTCGACCCTCGACATCGATAATAAAACGGCGAAATCGACGAAAACCCGGATCCGAAAATGAAGATCCAGATATGTTTTAAGAGGGTTCTTGAATCTTTTAAGGATGTATGCAAGAACTCAATGAGTTGAAGAATGGATCAAGAATAAGACAACTACTATGAAAGGACCATTTTATTTGTTGTTTTTTTTTTTTTTTTGATCGGAATTATTTGTTGTTTTTTTTGGTCTTAGTAGAAGTAGTTTTAGCTTTAGGGTAGTTGAAAGTTGAAGGAAATAACAAAGGGTTTAGCATAGGAAAAGTGGGGCAAGAACTAAGACAACAACAATATCAAACAAACATAAACTATATGATGTAAGTGATCCAATGGCTCTTGTTTGTTGGTTGGGGCAATCCAACGGCTGAGAAGAAAGGATAGCTAGCAAGTTTAAATACAAAGTACTTAAGTTGGAGTAGGGGTGGCAATTTTTTTTTTTTTTTTTTTAAGTTCATTTTTGTACTTAATGTGTATATATATATATATATATATATAAATTTATTAAAAGTTAAAATATTAATTTTAAAAATCAGGCCGGACCAGATAGGGTCTGAATTTCATGAACTCAAACACGGCCCGATTTATTAGCGTGCTGGACCAGGCACGGCTAAAAATATTCGGGCCTGATTTTGGAGACCTAAGTACGATTTTTTTGTGCTGTGTTCGGACATGATTTTCGGGCCGTACTTATTTTTCCACCCCTAAGTTAGACACAAGATTATTGTTATTATTATTGTTTTGGAGAGTCTTTATTTAGTGTTTATAACTACAAAATTTATTTATTTATTTTGTGTAGTATGATACTTTGCTTTGCACATAAATTGTATTAATTAGTAAGTTATAAACACTGAGCAAATACTTTTTAAATGATTTTTTTTTTAAAATTATAATATAAAATACATACGCATGATAATAAAAGTTAATAAAAATATATAAAAATAATATTTTTATAATTATTCATATTCTACTAATCATATAAAATTATAAATACTAAACAATCGAATGTGCCACTCTATTTACTCAATTAGAACATGGAGTGTTCTGAAAGATAATATATTCTGTCTCATCTATTATGTCCACCCCATATTTCATGTCACTTTTTTTTAAAAAATTATTATACATCTTAATCTCATTTTAAAATTTTAATTAAATTAATTATCTTAATTTTAATTTATAATATTTATATTATGATAATTATTTTCACTAATACATTGTTAATTATTTTTACTAATACATTGTTAATTATTTACTAATTATACTTATTCTAAATTTTCATGTCTATAGTTACCCGGACATGCAATGTAAGATGGAGGGAGTATTATTTTTTCTTATAAAATACTCTTCCCGTCCCTTAACAATCTATCAATTTTTTCATTTTGGTTTATCACATAACAAAGTATCCATTTTATTTTATTTTAGTAATTGTACTATCTACCTAACATTGCAAATACACTTCCAATTTACAATATATTAACAAATGTTATTACCTTTATATCATACAATACTAATAGGGATAATTTAATCTTTTTATCTTTATTTTTACTTTATTCTAGTATAATACTAATATTTCTAAAACTCTGTGAGAAAAATAAAATTGAATATATATAGATATGAGACAGAGAGAGTATTATATTAAAATATTATTTAAATCAAAATTTAAATTAAATATTCAATTTCAAATCAAATCCAACACACCTTAAGATTGTTGATTTTTCTTCCATATATATATTTTTTTCTATCATTTTTGTCTGCCCATTCAAAAATATATATTTTTTTATATTGAATAAAAAAATAATCATATATTAATACCAAAATATTATTAATTTTTTATTAAATTATTATTACAAATACAATTATTATGTTAAAACCTCTTACTTACTTTATCTAATCAATAAAATAATACTCCCTCCGTCCACGAACTAATGTCCTACTCTCCTATTTGGGACGTTCAACAACTATTGTCCTATTTTTCTTTTTAAACACAATTTTTACATTTTTACCCTTAATTTATTTATTACTTTTAATCTCTACCATTCAATTAACGGCAAATTTGTCAATTCATAACAAACAAAAAGACAATTACTTAAAAAACCGTGCAAATATACTTTAGGACAATAGAAATTGGACGGATGGATAGAGTATTATTTTTTAATCAGAATTTAAAAAAAGTAAATTCAAAATCGACAAAGCAAGTCTATTTTATTACCGAGAACTGTGTGTGAAAATTTACATTGGTAATTTTGAATAAAATACTCAAATATTTTGGATTATTTATGACGTGTTATTTAATGAAGTTGGGTTAAAATAAACATACCATAGGTTGTTAGAATGGTTGCACCAAAACCACAGCCATGTTAATGAGTGTTTTTTTTTTTTTTTTAAGTAATAAAAGTTAAGTATTTAATATAATATTTGAAATATAAATACAATATTAAATAAAGTTTATTATATATTATAAAATTAAAAAATTAAAGATATACACAAATTAAATATATATATTTTAAATTTGTTTGGTTTGTGTTTGATATGTTTTTAATTAAATACAATATGTTTATTTTTTATTGTTTATATTCAATTCATTAGAAATAATCAATTTTAATATATATATATATATATATTATTTGATCTGAAGTTGTAAGTTTGATTTTTATATTACAATTTATTTTTTATAAAATTATATATTTGAATAGTAAATTCAACCATAATTGACTTAAATTAACATATATTTTCTTAAATAAACATATATAACAAAAGGGGAAAAAGTGCATACCATATTCACTTGCTTTGGAGGACCACTTAGAAAAATATGAGAAGGGGTTAAAAGCAAAAAGAGTATCATTTTCTTTATTTTTCTTTGAATTTTTTTTTTTAATTATAAAATTCTAATATTTTTCTAAATAAATAAATTATTTTCTCTAGCAAAATTATTAAATTAAACTACAATTTAAATCCAAAAAAAAAAAACCTAAGAACTAAAATTAAAATTAAAACACAACAAAATACACGGATTTGTTACTCTATTTTACACCATGCACAAAAAATGAAATAAAATTGTTTTTTTTTTAAACAAAAAATATACAATTTCTTTCTTTTTTTCTTTTTTTACAAAACATTGAATAACAACAAAATTACTTCACCTAAATAATATTATAATTCTTCGTAATAATTTCATAATTTCCAATAATCAATACTCCCTTCGTAAGAGGCGGAACTAGAGACCGATGTAAGGGGGACTAGTTCTTAAATTTTTTAAAATAACACGATTAAAATATATATTTCAATGTTGTATTTTTTAAGTTGATATATTTGAAGATAATAATAATAAATAAAGCAATAAAAAATACATATTGTATATATTTATTTTTATTTTGTTTAAAAATAATAAATAGAACTGTTTTTTTTTTAAAAAAAGAATATTTAAAAAATTATTAAAATTATCTTATTATCACAACTAAAAGTGTATTTAACTTTTGTTATATATATATATATATTATATTATCTTATAATATTTCTAAAAAATTATATATGAAATTAAAATACTAGGCATAAACATGCTTAATTATTTTTTTAGTATTATTTTTTATGTAATTTAAATATTTTTAATATACAAATACGTACATACTTATATAAAAAAAAATTAAAAAATATTTAAATAAAATAAAGGGTCGGGGCCGGGGAGGGGCTGGAGCCCCCCTTGCCCTATGGTGGTTCCGCCCTTGCCCTTCGTCCCATAACAAGGTATCCATTTACCTTTTGCGTCATTGTACTTAACGTTAAAAATATTCTTATATTTGTATAATTTTTTATACAAATGTCATTATAATAGTATTACAAGACACTAATAAAAATATTTTTGTAATTTTTCCTTGAGTTGTAATACATTTAGATATAATAATTAATATCCAAAGATTAACAAACAAAAATAAATGAATACTTATATGACGGAGGGAGTATTATTAATTTAAAAAACAAAAAAACTCTACACACTAAATAGGATCAATTTAAATAAAATCATGGAAGCCTAAATGTTATTTTCCATATATTTGGGTCTAAAATTGGGAGAATTTAATTCGACAACAACCCCAACAGTTCCAACAAATACACAATTATTTTACACACTACAAAAGAAAGGAGGCAACTAATCCCCCATAACAACTTAACAATTAGTCAAACACACTAGGGTATTTTGTTTTCATATTTTCAATCTTATTTTTGCACTATATAATCTATAGCCTTTTTTTTTTTTTTTTTTTTTTTTTAAAAAAAAAAAACTTTAAAGAAAATATGAGATCTAGAGTAGCTTCACTTGTGAGCAAAGTGTGTGTTCATTTTGATTAAATTGATGCAAGAAAATGGCAAAAAATATGGATTTCTTTTGTCCCCTAATTACTAAAAGGATGTCTTGTTATTGGCCTCAATGGTCAATTTCGTGCCCACTAATTCACATCATAGAGGGACCTATAACTAACACTATTATGCATGTGATATAATCAATTTTAGGAGATTGATTTAATTATAAGTAATGTGATTGATAGCTAGGTTGGGGATTATCAAGAATGTAACTATTACTTACACTTTTTCTTTAATGGTATTGTTAATAAGTTCTCTTTCTATATAATAGGATATAGAGAGAGATGAATTCGATTAGAATCCATAGACTAACATTTTTAAGAGGTTGATTTTCTTGATTATCTTAAGTATCGGTCGAGTACTTTTTCTTCTTCGCCCACATAGACAAAATGTAGGATTGATGCCAACAAATCATTAAAACTTTCAAGAATGACTCTAAGCCGGGGCTCGATTGGACCCAATTATTTGGATATTGGATCGGATAATAAAAAACTTTCAAGTTGGATTGGAGTCTTGTGTATAATGTATGGTGCCCAAATTTTCATGGGACATACAAACCAATGGCAACAACAAATATTCCTATATTGGAGTGTTTAATCGAATTACTACATATTTGCAGTCATAAAAGGAAGAAAACGATCTTATCCAAAATCCAAAATCTTGAGAATCCATGGATTTGAAATAAAAAAAGTCATCGGAATTTTCACCAAATGAGGCAAAATCCGAACATAGTTTTAAAATGAGGCTCCGCATAGATGACAGCTTGCAAAAAGTTCATGAATTTACTTGTCCGTTAC